AAAATTTATGTTTTATATATTTTTGTAAATTTTATATTTTATATTTATACTAGGGATTTACTCTTTGCAAGAGATTTGATATGTATGCGATAATTTGCACAATTTTCCTAAGACTAGTTCATTTGGTTTTGTTTATTTTTGTGGATAAAGTAAAAGAGCTTGGTTTAGGGTTCAGCAAGCTTTTTAGGCGTATTACATGATATGTTTACGTTTTCCTTTTGAAATCTCTTTATTTTTTGTATCTTTTACATTTCTTGTTTATGTCTTAGATTTAGATTTGGTTTATTTATATTGTTGTTTTGCCTTTTAAGCGCTTTTACGTGTATGTAGGGTTATCGCATTTTTTTTTTTTAATTCCTTTGTAATATCTTTTGTTTTGGTAATTGCTGGATTTATTATGCTGCTTGACGTAGTCTTTAATTTATTTTTAATTTCCCACTAGAGACTAATGATATGTATTGATTTGCTTCATTCGTTTTTATTTAAGTTACATTTCTTAAATATTTTGTTATATTTTTAGCATAAAGTTTATTTTTTTTCAAATTTCTTTGTGGACATTAAGTTTTGTTTATAAATTTTCCATCCACTGCGATTGGATTCCACAAAAATGCGTGGGTGTCTCTTGGACTTTCTCTGTGCCTTTCTCTTCCGGCGTGCTTCTCTTTTTCTCAGTAATGGCTGCTCTCTCTCTCTCTCTCTCGCGCTCTCTTACTCCTTGAGCCCCCTTTCTCCAACTCCGCGACCTCCTCCGCGCTTTCTCCCTCTCGTTCTCTCTTTCCCTGCTCCTTCTCCACTCCTTTCTCTTTGCTTTTACAGGCGGCAACGGCAGCGGCAAGTTCTCTATGTATTCCTTTTTTTTCTGGCCGTTGAATTTCAGTAACTTTTTCCGATTCCGCTTTGGCCCCGCATTCGCTTTCACCGAAAAAAACCGTAGGCGCACAAACAACAACAAATCGCACTAGAAATTATTTATTTAAGTCAATTAAGTTTTCATGCCGAAATTTCGAAATGGGGGGATATTCGCTAATTATCTCTGGCGGAGATTCGTTAATACGTATATCCTGGGATATATATCTCGTTGGCCGCTGCCGTTGGGCCCCCACACCCGTAAAAATAGCAAAGCAATGGAAATTATACAATCAATGGCTGGGTATTCGAAACTATGAATTTTCAGTGGCACTCGCGTTCGCCGGATTACTCGATTTGGCTTCGGAACAAACTGGCTGCGCCCTGCGAATTGCAGCGATTTATTTATTGCACAATTCGGATGTGTCTCAGTTTGGCTTTTATTTTGGGTTCTTTCACTATATCTCTGGCCTGTGTTCGCTGCGTGTGGCTGAGTCGGAGTGTTTTCGTTTACTCAGGAGCCAGCGCAGGATGCGTCCGATGCCAGGCCATGAATTTTTCATCATCGGGCATCCTTATTAGAGATTTTCGCCCCATCTCGTTGAGATTGCTGCGCGCAGAGCCAAAAAGCATCCAAGAGAGAGAGAAAGTTAGAGAGAGAGTGAACTTCCTGAGAGCGCCTCCACACACAATTGTTGTTAAGGGCTGGTTGTGGGTGGTGCATTAAAATATTCCCCCCTCTAAAAAGTAATACTCAATTTTCCTCGGCACTTGTATTTTTTTCAAGGCCCATTATAATCTCATTCAGGTATTTTTCCTCAATTTTTCCTCGCTTTTTTGGGGGTTGTTCGGTTATCGCATGTTTGGGGGTCCGTGTGAAACGGTAAGGGGCGGCTTTTTGGGGGTGGCTTTATCTTTATCTGTTTGTTTTTCGCTCTCCTCGTACACGTAGCTTTTCCATTGTCAGCCTTAACGAACATGTCACTTTGACATTTCCCAAATGAGAGCCAGACAATTTAGAGAAAGAAAGTTTATTTAAGCTGCGCAGGTTTTTTGGAAAATAGGAAAGTCATTCTTCCTATATGGTTGCTGCATTGGCTAAGTCATAGGATGGCTCAGGTTGTTGGCTTGGTAACTTGGGCCATGTATTGAATTCGCCGCATGAGGCGAATTGACAACTTAATATTTGTGCCCATAGGGGTCGCGTTTGTTTTTTCTACTGTATAAGGCTTTTCCGGGCTTCTTCGTCGATTTTCCGGGAAAATCCAATATTTCTGCATCTGGAACTAAGGTTTAAATTGAAATTTAGTTGTTGGTGTTGCGGCAACGTTTGGGTTTGGGTTACATAGGGAATAATCGGCATTCATTGGTGCTAGCGCCTAAATAAGCTATAATTATAATCGGGGGAATAAATATAATTTAAATCTTAAATGTTGATCTTTAAGGATATTACAAAAATGTATCAGATTTCCTAATGAAAAATATATCTTATTGAATTAATAACAAAATATTATCATTTTGAATAAAAATAAAAATTGAATTATTATATTTTTCTGTAATCTACTCTTTTTATAGAGGTAATATACGATTAAAATAATAGTTAATAGCCTAGCCAATTTCAAAACTTGTTATTCTAAGCCAATATTACCATTTTTCCATCTTTTGGCTAGCATTATACTTGAAAAGGTATTTATAATTTCATTTAATTTTAATATGCACTCTTCTATAAATTCCTGTACCAATAGTCCCCATTTCGGATAGCTTTAACAAGGCAACAAATATAACAAAACCAGCCCTAACGATTGTTTGCCAAACAACAATAGAAAAATCAAAATATAGTGTTATACGAATGTGTATTCCCGTATAAACAGCCTGATTAAGCAACTCAGCTAAATGCAAACATCAAATTAAATCGCACAATAATACGTTAGTAGGCGTAGACTTGTATTTGCCAATTGGGGGAAGACTTTTGATAGTATTTACCATTAACCTTACCGAAGTCGAAACCCCTCGAAAACCCCCTTAAAGCCCATTGTAAAGCCCATTGAAAAATCCCTTTGCAATCTCTCTCTTTAATTTTGCCTTTCGTCGCTTCTTGGATGACATCTGTTGGCCTTCCTTCCCGCCGTCCTAGCCCAAGTATTTCTTTTCTGCTTGCCAGAGTCCTTTTTTTTTTTTTTGGTTAAAATGAAAATCAATAAAAAGCTCAATGACGTCAGCCGTCCAGACAAACACATACGCACGCTTACAATGTAAGAGGCAACATTGAAAAGTGCTGTTGGCCATATAGCTCCAGGCTCTCCCAGACTCCGCCTGTCACTCCCCCCGCCCACGGGTTGTGCTCTCATCTCCACCGGAAACCCAATAGCTCCCCTTCGTGTGCCAGTGTGTGTGTGTGTGGATGTGTGTGTTCCGGCGAGTGTGCGTGTGTTGTGGAGCCGAAGACACTGCACGTGAGCAGGCTATCAGCAATGGACTAAGAATTTCGACAGCCAGAAACGCGTTTTTCTACCCGCTTTCGGCTGTTTTACACAAAGAAGAATTTTCAGAAGTTTGTCTGAGTTTAAGCAACTTTCTAAAGTTTCTTGACGCTTTATAAAATAAATAAAATAAATAAATCAAATGGTATTTTAAAACATGCTTAACAAAGTAAATTTATAAAAGTTATATTATTAAAATTAAAATACATAAAACTTTAATTTAATTTTATAGATACAAATTGTGATTTTAAACAGAATAATATATTTTACATTAATTTTGCTTTAAAACAATTCTACAATGTATTGATATATAGTATGTATTGCCAAAAAATATTTGTATTTTTCTCTGTGATTTTCTTTGGAAAAGGAAATGCAGTGGGTCTAAAAATAGGCTGGGATTGAGTGGCTCTGACAATTTATGCCAAATCTTATGATGGCTGCGATAAGCTGGCAGATAAAAGCGAGAACAGAAACGACAACTCAAGCCAATTGCGATATATGCAACAGAAGTGAACGAATTTTATAGGCTTTGTTGTGTGTCTGATATCTTTGACAAGCTCGTCATGTGCTAGGGTCAGACGTTGTGATCCCAAAAATAAATTTAATTTATAATTTAAAAGATTTATAAAGAAAAGTCATGCAAGATAAAATGTAAGTAATTTGGACGTATTATAAATGTCCAAAAATATGAGAAAATTTAAATGGAGAAAGTCTAATATCTTAGAATGTAAAAACCATTTGAGCATTGGTAAAATTATCTTAATGTTGATTTAAAAAAAAAAGAGTGTAACCAATTATAAGGAAATGTAAACTTTGACAACAAGCAAATAATAAATGTTTTTTTTTCATTTTTTTGGATATCTTTTAATTAAATACGTTTTAATGTCAAAAAAATCTGCACGGACGAACTTATTGCATTTTAACCCCGATTGAGCTCCCAAATCTGTTCAATCATGCAATATTACTTTCACCCCGCATGTTGATGCCCCTCAAAGTATGCAATAAAAAGTGATTCGTTCCAATTTGCCGCTACTGCTACTGCAACACCATCTACACCACCTCCAACTATTTCCCCCTTGCAAAATGCATTGAAAATTGTTTTTTTTGGCAACATCAGAGGGGAGGAACCAACACATCACATTTCCATAAGCACACACACACACACCCTCGCCAACATGAAGAGTTGAATTTTATGAATATGCAACACGATGTTGTTGCTTAATGTTTGCCCAAAACAACTATATGAGCATGTAATGCCCGAGGGGCGGATTTTGAGGGGGAGTTGAAGTCAGGCGAAAACACACTGACACACACACACTGACATTTATTCGAGCAGTTAGTTTGTAGTAGGTGTTAAAATTGCACATGAAATATGAAGAGCCACTCATAACACTGAAAGAAACAGTGCTCCCCTTGCCTGGTTAACAACTCCCTGGTCAATTCACCACGTTTCGAAAAAACAGAGAGAGAGAGATAGATAGAGAGAGAGTCCCTGAGAGAGAAATGGGGATAGCGAGAGAGAAATTCCTGAACTGCTGACGACAATCGAAGCGGATTCCTGATGTAGGTGGGCCATATCGTGGGCTATATCGTGGGCCAGGCAGCCAGTTAGCCAGCTTTTTCAGCTCCAGCTGCGGGTTCAGTTTTCAGTCGTTGTCGTGCCGTCGTGATGTCGTTGCCGTCGTCGCATCCGTCGTCGTTGTCGTTGTTGTTGTCGCCGCACTCCATGTAGTTGTTGTTGGTGCAGCAGGCAGTACAGCAACAGCAACGCCAACACACTAGCAGTAGCAACAGCAACATCAGGCTCCAATCGCCAGCAAACAACAATTAAAACAAAAAAAAAAAAAAACAAAATGAGTTCACTAAACGGAAAATTAATTTGGGCATATGGAATGCTGCACACATAGATATAGATATAGTCGTATATATACATATATGTATATTTGCCTATGTTATACACACACAAATCTACATAAATTCTAAGTGCAAACCAATTGTGATTTAAGCTAATGACCACAACCACAAATCAGTTAAAAAAAGTGTATAAAGAATGTAAGAAACTTCTGAATTTTTCATTGGGTTTTCCTAACAAAAATTTGGTTCGTGTTTTTTTTTCTTTCATCGTTCGTGAGCTTGCTGCTTTTTTCTGTACACACAACGCCACGCAATCCCACCCAAAACGCTCCTCTCTCCGCTCTCTTTGCTCCTCGACTTCTCGCCTCTGCGCTCCTTTGTTGTGTTGGCCGTGATCTCGTCGTCCCTTTTGGCCAGGATTCGGTGCGGATGAACGCATTAAATATGCAAAAATAAAGCCACACACACACACATGTAGAGCAGTTAACTGCTGTCCTTTATCCTTGAGCCAGAGGAAAATTTCATTAAGCAAATGACTGGCAAAGAATTTTGTAACTATTTAAAATATTTCACCATGAAAGTGACGGGAATCTATTAATTTAATTTGGTTAAACAAAAAAGTTACTATTAATGCGGGTGAAAAGTCGAATGTGAGAAGAAGCTAAAGAGAGAGTTCACCACACACACACAATCAACACAAAATAAAACTTCGTACAATTGTACAAATTAAATCAAAATAAATTCCTGTTTAGGTTTTTAAGGTAAAAAAAAAACAAAATCAATGATAATATTTTTTTAATGTACAACAGTGCGTATGATTAACTTGGCTAACCCAAGTTGGCCTTTTCGTCTCCGTTGATTGAGTGGAAACCCAGTATTGGCACAATAACATCCCAGTATTTCCTGCCAGCTGCAGTGTCCTCTCTCACTCGCTCTCCTCTCTCCCTGTCTCTCTCTCTTTTATTTCCTCTGTGTGTGTGTGTTTGTGTTTTACAACAATAGAGGCAGCATGCAACATAATTACAACTCAACTTCAACTTTACACTTAGACGACAGGCAAAGCTCGCTAGAGAAACAACAAATTACGAGAGCCGCTTCAGTGTTTACCAAAAAATACATATAAATTATTAAAAGCCATAACAAATATCTTTCTACCAAACAGTTTTCAAGTTTATTAAGTATATGAAAATCAACCAAAGCCTTGTAAATAGCAAAACGTAATAAATAATGAACAAAACTCTTTTCTTATTGATAATACCAACTGAAAATTAAACCAAAGAAATTTAAAACATAAGAAAAACCCTTGAAAGAAACAACGAATAAACAGACAACGCCGTTTACACAACAACTTTATAGAGAAATGCATGTAAGTTAAACCAAATGAAGGTGAACTAGTTTTTTTAACCTATCAAGCAGCTTAAATATTTAAAATCTTATAATCAAGGGGCAACAACATCAACAGTTGCCCCAAACAATGACAAACAATGGCCGATAAATTGCCACGACATATAAAGCAAATTTTGCCTCTGTTCTTTTGTCTGCAATTTTCTTCTCTTTTGTGGCTGTTACTGCTTTGTTTACTGGGCAATAATGAATAGTAAAATGAGTGTGTGGGTGATGGCGGTGGGTGCCATCGATGGGCGTTAAATTTAATTAAAAGGTAAACTAGTAGCAACAGCAACAGGCAGCCAGTTCGAATCGATTTTCTTTTGACTCGTTCAGTTGGCAAATGGCGAACGTCACTAGGCAACAACGAATAGGGGAATCAGAGGTTGGGAATAGACCAACCTATTGCTTTATAGACAAATGATGGTAATGACGACACAAGCACCCACACTTAAGTCTACACTCGCCAAGTGAACCAAAATGGACGTCATAAATGTTTGACAATGCACACGAGGCGTATGAGTAATGGCAGGCAGCCCACAATAAGGGTCTTTTGCTGTGCGGATACAAGTGGGCGTAGATGTGTGGGCAGGCGGCTGGTTGGTTGGACATTATTGAAACAACTATCCATTGACACTGCCCCCCCTTTTACCGCTTTTCCCCCATTTTTGTGGGGGTCAATGGGTGCATGAAATTGCCTTTTATGCTTTGATGTCATTGCTCGCCCTTTTGGCTCTTTTCTTCCCTCCGTAAAACATATTCAGTGTCTCTTGTTGGACCAACTTTTTTGCTGTATCCCCCCACTTATTCGACAAGTTTTTGCCAGTGTTTTGTCCCTCATATTTGTTTGCCGTTAATTGCATGGAAATTGTGCGCGCAATTGAAAAAGTTGAACAAGCTAACCGACAAAGTGGCATTGTTCCAGCTTCCCGTTTCCGGGAAAAGCATAGATATCCTTTTTGGCCTGGCCAACCACACTCGAGTCAACGACTTTTGTTTGGCCGGGCACCGACTATGAATGAATAAGTGCAATTATGGGCTGGGTAGGCCCAGGCAAAACAGTCATGAATCAACGGCCGGCCACGAATGTAAAACGGTCATTAGTCAGGCTGGCGGGGAAAGCCCTAAGACGTTCCATTTGGCAGGCCACCGCAAAAAGTCACCAAGTCATTGCCTCGTTTATAGTTTTTGGCTGCAACAACAAACGGCAACTTGGCCACGTTTTCTTTTATGGCTCTATTCAGAGTGAATGTGTGTGTGTTTGTGTGTGAAGCGAGTTTTACCAAGTCCATTGCACCCGTCGGCTGAAATGGCTGACGCCATGAAAATTTCGCTCGCCAATTTAGTTATCTGCATAAATTTCGAGCGATCTCCACGGGCGGCGTGACGTCACGGGGACAACAATATATAGCTCGATAAGGAAACCCCCCGTTGACAGGTGATGTCAGTTGATAAATGACCCAGTTCCTAATCGAGCAACCAGTTGATATTTTGCCCTTTTACTGAATAAAAATGAGTGCAAAACTTACGAAGAACGTTAAAGTTTAAAGCGAGTATGAAGTTCCGGGAATTAAGTAATTGGAATAAGAACGAAAGCAATCAAAATACGCTAGAGCAGACGCTGGCTTGCACTTCTGAGAACATGTGTGTGAGCTTCCGAATAAGTTCCTAATTTATTCCTGGAGTTAATTTGCAGAACATTTATTTGCAGAAACGTATTGAAATTGAAAACAATTTTTTATATGCGGCAAATATTACATGTTCATTAAATGTTAAATATTGATCTTTTAAAGGGATAATTAAAATATATGTTACAATAACTTCGTTATTGGGTCAACATTTATAAAAAAAAGAAAAAATATAATAAAATTTTAATTTTTAAATATTTTCTATAAAAATAAACCAAGTTTTAAACATTTTATTTCATACTAGTATAAATTATTCAGGAACTTTTGCCAAACATTTAGTTTTCTTAATCACAATTTGTTTTTAATGGAATTTTTTAAAGCCGCTGAAAATTTGTACTTTTTGGCTTAAAAATAGTTTCTGCCCTTTTGTTTGCTTAACCCATACAATATTTAACCATATATTTTCAATTGATTTTGATTGCAGTTAGCGTTTTACCATTTTGACCTTTTCCTTGATGGCTTTCTTGTGTTGCTTTCCACTTTGACTGCTCCGTGCTCATTTTCAAGCTTTTCAAATGCATTTCCGATGAAGTTTCCTTGCCGCTGGGCACATTGTTGTTGCGGCTTCTGTTTCTGATTGCGATGGCTAATTGAAAGTGTCAATTATCAGCTGGGCAGGGGCAGTTGCACTGCCTGGCAGTGAACTTTCACATTTGTGCCAGTGCCATTGCCTGTGCCTGTGACTGTGCCATTCCCTGCAGTTGGCCGCGGGGCGTATGCGTAATGTGAAATAACCTTGGCCAGTGGACAAGGAATGCAGAATGTCCGCCCCCGCCATCCCCATCCTTGGATTTTTCATTATTATTATAATTCATCCTTGTGCCTGATAAGTTTTCCCCCTCATTTCCCCCCCGCGCTTTGGGGTTTTCTATTGCTGCACTTTTTTTTTGCTTCAGTAATTGCTATGGTTCTTGTTGTTACTGAGTTCGCGCGGTCAGCGCATAAAATTTCTATCTACTGCGAAGCAGGTGGCTGGGAAATTATCAAGGGGAAATTTGTGGGACTTTCACTCGCTCTCAGCAGTTAAATTATTGGCGCCCTCGCAAGCGCGCGCATTTGGAGTAGTTCGTGGTGAAATGTTAACCGCTCTCTCTCTCTCTCTCGTCCACTTTCTTTCACTCCCTCTCAGTTGATATGCTGATTTTTGTGTTTTTTAGGCCTCATTTTCGGAAACTTGCAGTGAAGTAAGGCAAGGGGAAAACTTAACTTATCTTAATCAATTGATTGAAGAGTCACAAGATTGATTTCTGGCATTAAATTTGGTCCTGCCAGGCCAAAATAGGTCCCATGTCCTGACTCCCTGGATGTCCTGCTCCGTTGTCGCCCATAAAGCAGCCACTTAAGCCCCACAACCCCCCCTCAACGCAGCCATCAATTTTGCATGGCACGTTGGCGCTGTTGTTGCAGGCCATGCTGCATCTGCTGCATTATCAATTCATGAGCTCCCGCTGAAACACAAGACGCCATATACACAAGATACAAGATACACGCCATCGCCATCGCCGGAGGACCTCTGTGGATGGCAGCATAAAGCAGGCCCATAAACACCATGCAAGCTGGATTTTATCTCGCTTGAACTACATAAGTTATGGGCCAAGAGGGGGTTGCAGTTGCACGGTACAAAATCGAAAGGACTTACTGAAATTTGTAAATATATGGTGGATTGAGTTTGCACTTAGAGTCAGGAAAATAAAAGTAGTTTCAAGGTAATCTAAAAAAATGTGGGTGTAGAAATTACACGTTGTGTTGGATTCCCTTTCCATAGCTTTATTTTTATGAAGAAACCATATTGTGGAGTATCTAAAATTAATAATAATGTCAATAATTATTTACGAGAACTTATGATAATGTTAAATAACCATTTCAGCATTTTCTTCTGTTTTCTGAACTTAACTTCCTTTTTGAAGGCTTAGAATTATAAAAGACTTAATATTATATTAAGTTGCAATATTCAAGCAATAGAAATTTCACTTGCTTTTAAGGCATATAGTCCTAGTTCAAAGTCAGTTTAGTAAATGTAACTGTCAAATTGTTTATTGTCAATTTTAAAAGGATGTGACGCATATTGTCGACAAGCGATTTTTCTTTCTCTGTAGCGCTGCGAATTTTCGTGTGCATGCCCTAAGGATGCGCCATAAACCAGCAATAAATACACATTCATGAGAGAAATCAATCGCATTTTTCATGTCGTGGATGATTCGACATGGATTTTAATGTTCTCCTAACTCAATTTGAGTAAAAGTGGGCCGGACAAGTACAAAAAGTCTCGTGAAGTTATTTGTTTTCAGATTGGGAAATTGTTCTCAGTGGTCCGAGGGTCATAGCCAATGCCCACTTAGGTGGGACATTTTTGACCTGCTCTTGCTGCTGCTGCAATATTCATGCAATCAAAGTTGGTGCAACAATATGGTCCTAATGCAGCTGCTCCTGCTCTTTGGTTGGACGATTCCTGAGCCTCGGTTTTCGGTAATCAAATAGGATTAGAGGTCGATATCCTGGCTAAGTCGCCCATCTGCCGGGTATCTGGCTTACTTTATTTTGCTCAGCCTGCTTGATGGCTTTTAATTACGATGGCTTAGATTGCTTCCTGGCCATTGAATGCTAATTTCGAATGCCTTTCAGCCGGAGGAAATGAGGCGCATGAAAGCATCTTTGGCTCCCCTGCAAGTGAAGTGTCTGCTTCCGGTTGCACTCTGCAGTCTTCCAACGGGCTTGTCTATATAAATAGGCGGGCTGCCTCTCATCTGCCCCACTTCACTTCCCCCTCTGCTTTTCCGTCTGGCCAGGCAATCTCCTCTTAGGCGTGAGTATATGCGTGAGCACTGAAAAAAATAACCAGGAACTAGGAAATACATAATATAATTAAATAATGCATATATTAAATATTCCTTACAAAAAAAAGTAATAGTAGTTTCAATTCTTGTTAAATTAAAATGCTCATCGTGGATTCGACATATGACATATTCATTATTTAGTAGCTAATAAAACTAGACAATTTTTCAATACTCAAGCTGATATTTTTAAAACAGTGACTCCCTTTGGTTTTTTTTCCAATAATATTTTAGACTTTAAAAAATAGTTTCAGAAGCCTAAAGAAATTTTTGCGAAACACATAATAGTTAAAATTTGTGGTTTGGATCTCAAATAAACCGTTCAGATAATTTACTAATATTTTAAGGACTGTCTGTTCATGTTGATATTCTTTGTAGGGTTTAGAAATTCGAAAATATTAAAAGTGTGTAATTTTCTCTTTAAGTGTGTTTGTACATGGCCTCGTATATATTTTCGCATTTTGTACGTGCGTCACCGTGTCAACCGCAGTGCCTTTTGCCTTCCCCTCGTCCCACTTCATCTCACTAAAGGGACCTGCCTGGTTTTGCGGCTGGTTGTTTGCCCTGGCACGTTGATGGCCATAAATACAGTTACATATGTTTGCATTGCGGCCAGATACTGACCACCCCTGGAACCCCCTTTCCGCTTTGGGACCGCCCCTTTTTGCCTGCTTTTCCCGCACTGCTCATCTCGTTAAAATTCTCATTTCCTACTGGCTTACTTTTTGTTTGTTTTTTTAATTTCGCATTGCATTTGGTCTACGGGATTTAATTAAATGTTTCACTTGGGATGGAAGAGTTGTCGCTCCATTTGAGTGGTAAATTAATTGGTTAATATAGGTATGTTCACTCCTTGGAGTTATTTTATGGATTCAATTTTAACATTATTTGAATCAAATTTTAGCAGGTATTTCAAATTTTCCAGTTCGTTCAAACAAGCAATGCCTTTTACGATTTTTCATTTGGCCTATGCAGATTAGAGTAAATATAATTGATTTCGGAACAACATAAGATCTAGCAGTAAGAGCTTGTTTTTTTATTACTAATACTCATTTCCTTCTACATTATCCTGTTTGCAGTGCTAAACAACAACCCCTTAAACCGAGTGGACTGCATTTCGGAACGATCTCAACGCAAAAATGGCACCGCAACATCATCAGCATCGGCAGCAACAGCAACAAAGGACGCAACTAACTCGGCAAAGGCTGCAGCAACAACAACTGCAATTAGAAACAACAGCAAAGGCCCGGCAACGATATAGAGCGGTGGAAAAATGAAACAAAAACCAGAAACGAATTTTCCACTTAAATTTGCATTCAGCCAAAGAAATACAAAGGTCTAAACAAAGAGGAAGGAAACAACACACAAAACAGTGCACAATAAGAAAGTCGCCAGTGAAAAGGGGTCAGAGGGCACGCACACACACACAAAAACACACAGGACACGCAACACAAACACAACCATAAGGAGCGCATAAAACACATTTAACACACGGACACAAAGGACGACGAGTGCATTGTGAACAATTTTCAACGAATTTCCAAAAGTCTACACAACAAATCTAAACAAAAAGTTCATAACAAAAAAATCATAAAAAATTTTGAAATTTGCTCTGTGATTTTCTATCAGAATGGTTTAGTAATCCAAAATAATATTTATAATATTTAATAACAAAAAGTATATATAAATATTGCTAAACTGCATTCCAAGCAACCAAAATAGAAAAGTTTATCAAATCCCCAAAGAAAAGCTTTAAATCCAACCGAAAACGTAAATTAACAATTTCTATAAATATAACCAAGCAAAGTTTATTACACTGCGACTAATTAGAGCAGCTAGCGCTAGTCAAACAACTTCGATCAGAACCACAATTCCACTAGAGGACACGATTCCCAGACCGGAGCCATGGACGAAATGCCCGACCTGTCGCACCTCACGCCCCACGAGCGGATGCAGATCGAGAATGTCCTTATGCGGCAGAAGCAGGAGGAGGAGAAGCAGAACGAGGTCATGCGGTGAGTATTCAAATTATATCGGGGTGCGCCAGAAATCTCTAACAACCGAAGTTGGGTGCAATCGAACCCTACATCCATGCAATTCCCATGGAATTTGGTTAGAATATATTAAGTATTTTTGAAGAGAAACTAATTTTATTTTAAGTAATCTTTATTTGGTTTGCTTGTTTTTTAAGACAAGCCTGTTCTCAAAAGCTTTAAAATCCTCTTAATAATAATTTGTAATATATCGTAAATAATAAGTTATCGGCGATAAAATATATTTTATTATTATTAACCAAGTTAGTATTATACAATCTATTAATCGATGAAATATTTAATGTAAAATCTCCAATCCAGACAATTGAGACAATTTATAAAAATATAAAGTATTTATAAATTCTTTTTATGGTGATTAAGTAAGCTTCTGTATTTATAATTTATAATTTATTTTTTCTTAGTTTCCCAACTAGCTTTGACTCTTAAAGGGTTTTTTACAAGATTCAATTTAACCCTTACAAAACCGATTTTTGTAATTACAACATTCATATATTTTATAATTTTATTTTTACCATATTTTAATCAACCAGATATTGAATATAAAAATTTGTTTAGGGCTTATGTCTTAAGACTGCCAGTTTGGGGCTCTTTAAGTGGACTAAAAATGTAATTTAAAATGTAATGAAATGCTTTTCTTCGTTGATCCCATTGCAGGCGCAAGCAGGATGAGGTGGTCACGCTGGAAATGCAAATAAGACAGCGCTCCGAGCAGCAGAAGAAGGCTGGCGTCGAACTGGATGCCACCTGTCACATATGCCTTAAGACCAAGTTCGCCGACGGCGTTGGCCACATTTGCCACTACTGCAACATTCGCTGCTGCGCCCGATGTGGCGGTAAGGTGACGCTGCGCAGCAACAAGGTGAGTTGGCCAAAGCCTCCATATCCTTACTAACCAAATCGAACGGGCTTACTCCTTGTGCCTCTGAGTCCTTCCATCGGACTTAGACACTCATTGAAACGCGCGTGACAGCGGGAAAATAGGTTTTTTTTATCCTAAAGGGTGACGGGCTCATTTTCCGCTCATTGACAAATAGGACAACGCTGGTGCCAATATTACTGGCGACCCGGCTGCCGCTTGACTAAGCAGCCATCACTCATACGCCCCATTGCCACATCGACATTGCCATAGGCCAACTGGTCGCTTGTTGCCAACTGTCCCCAGTGACGCGTTGGGCGCATGAATAAATTTCATTGTCGCCTTGTAGTCCGCCATCGCGGGCTGGATAATTGGAGATGGACGAGTGTGTGTGCCAGTGCGAGTGGGTGTTGCGGAGGACATCCTCCCCGAACCCTGTCGCCCGGCCACTTTCGTCCAGGCGCCTCCCAATTTGACACTCATAATTTACGTATAATTTCTAGTTTCAAGCGTTGCCTCTGGTCAAGGATATCAGACGACGGAACTCCTTGGGCAGCCAAAAATCACTCCCGAGATATAGTTTATGACCCAATATCTTTCTTAGCCTTAGAGTTACACCAATAATGTACAATAAATTCTAATGCCAGTAAAAGATTTTAAAGCTATCATCAAATTTAAGGCTTTTTTGAAACGAAAAGTGCTTAAAATGAGTTTATAACTACTAAGGAAACGGAAATAGAATAAAGCTTTAATTAATCCCACGTGCCATGATTAAAGTATTTCTATTCGGTATCTCATTGTAGAAAATAAGGCTTATGAACCCACTTGCCATGATTAAAATAACTTTTTCTATTCGGTATCTCATCTTAGAAAATTGAGCACTCTAAAAAAATAATGAATGGGAATATTAATATATTTTTAAGCCATTTAATTTATGCACTTTTGGCCAATGAGAAGGGTGGCTGCTCTAGAGTTATTTCTGGTATGATTTATTTTGGGTCACCTCAGTCAGTAACCTTGATAGCAGGATATCTTTACTGGCATTGAAGAATATCTCCTCCGCATTCCTTTTTTAAGTCCACTCTACCTTCGTTTTGCCCCCCACAGTGCATTGCATTTCAATTACACTTTTTTCAATTTTTATTTAACTCAGTGAACCGTTTCTTGGTTCTTTCCCTCTTTTTTTCGCTGCCCAGGCTTATCATTTTCTGGCCCTGCTGCCAAACGTTTTTCCGTTGAACTGCTGCCAAAATGTCACACACACACACACACACACAGAAACAAATGTGGGCTTTGGGGGGTTAAGAAGTGAATGCCAGGACGCAAAATGAAACGAGATGGGCCAACAACTCCGAACAAATGCCAAATGGAATTTCAATTTGGCTGTGACACGGCACGAAGGCATCTTCTTCAGCAGAGTGTCGAGGATCTAGAGGCGCGGAAGATGAGCGACAGGTGGATCCAGTGGTACCATTCCGTCTGCTGATCGTCCTGGAACGGAGCCACCAAATGCACGTTGCTAAACCCCGCGAAATACTCGCTTCGCCCGCGTTCCACGTAGGTGGTCAGAAAGATATTCCCGCTCAGAATGTCGTACAATCTGCTGAAGTAGTAGAGCAGCCTGGTTTCCTCACCGCTAACTGCTTCCACGCCATCACCATCGCCATCACCATCGCCATCGCTCTCACCCTCGTCTTCCTCAAAGGCATCCAGCTCATACTGTATGTGGCTGACACTCAGATTTAGGAACTCGTCCATGGCAAAGCCTGGTCACAAAATTTGAAAGCGAATCAGAGTGAACGTGTGAATTCCCGGGAGAGTACCGGAACTATGTATGTGTGTTCTAGTGATTGAAGCACCAGGAGAGACTAGAATGGGTTCAATCTTTTGACATTTCAAGGAAAGGGTTGGTGCTATAACCTTTAGAGAATTCTTGGGGACAAGCGGAAGTGACACCAGCAAAAACATAGTTTTAAATGCTGGTCAGGTTGCCTCGTATCTCTTTAATCCCTAGAGACTTCTTTGTTTGGATAAAACCCTTTTCTGTATTTTGAGATTTAGTAGTGGAACTTATGAAACTTAAAGGCTTCATAGACCTAACTAGTTTTACTGGATACGCTGAAAAGAATTTCACTTATTTATTATTGGCATAATTTTTTTGCCCAAGCTAATAAGAATGTTATTTTGGAGAACTTCTCGATTGGGAAAACTTCCAACTTGGTTAATTTGTTTTGGATCTGAGGTAAACAAAAGTCCTTTAACAAAATGTTCAGTTCTGAATGTCAATCGATACATCATATCTTTACAAGTTCGATAATATTTCATATTTGCAGTAGATAAAAGTAAAGTAGTCCATAAAACCCTTAAGATTCTTAATTTTTTGTATACCGCGTATATCAAAATTTCTCTAGTAGTAATAAGAAGTAAATTTCCCAATCTAAGCACTATAAATCTCTGTTAATTTTCCAGGTAATTTGGGTGTGCATACTGTGTCGCAAGAAACAAGAGCTGCTGTCCAAGACTGGCCAATGGATCAACAAGACGGCGGCGCAACAAGACGGTTTCATCCGACGCATCGAGCCGGATGGGAGCAGCGTGAGTAGACCTGTCCGCTCTGGACGAGAACAGCAGATCATGGCTTATGATTATGTTAACCAACAGGACATCTCCCAGCATCCCATTGTGGATCCGCACGACACCACGGACAAGCGGCCCAAGCTGGAGAGGACACGCAGTGCCGCCGAGAAGGAGAACCTGCCGATGCAGCGGGCGGGCAGTGTGCTGAGGCGGCAGTACTCGCAGCAGGAGCAGCCCACGAACCGCCGCCTCTCGGCCTCCGACAGCGGAATGGACCCCATGATGAGTCCTGGCCAGCAGCAGATGCAGCACCACCAGCAGCAGATGCAGCAGCAGCGATCACGGATGCAGCCAATGAATCCGCAGCAGGCGCAGCAGGGATACGGGATGCAGCAGCAGCAACAACCAAGATCGGGTGGTGCCTATCCCGATGATGATCCGCGTTACTATCAGGTAGGCAATTAAACGGAAATAGTTCGAAATTTCCTAAAAAAAAATTGTTTTTCATTAAATAAATTTTTTATTTTTAATTAATTTTAGAAATAAGTATTCCAAATCATCAAACTCAATTAGAAGCTGAAATAAAATTAAAGCAAATTTAAGAGTTGAGATATATTTAAACCAACTGCAATTAAATAAGAATACTTGTTTAGTGAACGCAATACTTACCCTATTATACATTGTTTGCAGGGCGAGCTGGACGGTCTGATGAGGCAGCATCCCCACTTGGCGCATCCCAGCCAGGTGCAGCCGCAACATCCGCAGCAACAGCATTCGCAGCATCAGCAGCAGCAATCGCAACACCAGCAACATCAGCAGCAACATATTATGCCACAGCAGCATCGTCCGTCACCGCAGCAACATCCTCAGCAGCAGCAGCATTCGCAGCAATTTGCGGCCAGGCAGCAGCAGCAACAGCAGCAGCAGCAGCATCAACAGCAATCCTACCAGGCCCAGATTCACCAGCAGCCGCAGCAACATCCGCATCAGCAGCAGCAACATCAGCCGATGCAGCAGCAACATGGACAGCAGGTGCCGCAGATGGGTGGCTATCAGAAGCCGCCACCATTGACCCGCAACCTGACCATCAGCGGTGGTCATGCGATGGACCCCAGTGCCTACAGCCAGCAGCAACAGCAGCAGCAGCAGCGACGGGCGCTGGCAGGATCGCAGTATGCATCGCAGCAGCAGAGGTCCTTCAGCAGCTCCGAGGAGGAGTTCCAGCATCAATTGCTGGCCGCCCAGGCCCAGGCAGCGGGGGCGGGGGGCGTGGCCACCGTGACCGCCGGATCGGACTATGACGGTGAGTTGAGACGTTTTGTCCAATTCGCATCCAGCTCTTGCCTTCTCTATCTCTGCTCTCTACTTCCCCCTGATCGCCTGAGCGATCCTCTGATCCCTAAACTCCCCTTCTATCTCTATCGCTTCCATATTTTCCACTCTGAATGTCTCCCAAGGCCATGCCTTAAGATCCAACTCCATTTTCAAGTTTTCCCATATAATTCACTATCTCTCTGTCTATGTAAACTCTCTTTGACTCGCTCGTTCAACCCCGAATCCTTTATCCCGCCAAAAAAAAAATATAATCTTTCGAAATGTAGCACTCTCTTGTCTCACATTGGTGCGTTGTCTTTTTCTTTGACTCGTTTTTGAGATCCAGTATTTGATGTTTTTTTCCGAACCAACTAAAAAGTCTTTTATGTTTTGCCTCACATTTTCTATGTTTCTTTAATCGGTGTATATAAATGTTTAATTTTTCAATGTCTATTAAACTCATCTTAAAAGTTAACTTTAAGCTTACTTTAAGGCCTTAAGTTCGATTTAAGCTGGCTGAGGAAACCCCTAAATTTGCGCTTTGCCCAAAATGAAAGTTTAAGCTGCCAAACTGGAAAAGTTTCGCCAAACATTTTCCCCGCAAAAGGAAAAACGCAACTTGCATGCCGGAGGTTATAAAAATAGAAAGCGCACTCACACACACTTACAGCTTCGGAATAGCGAGGAAAATCGTGCACAAAAAAAAAGAAAAGCGAATGGCAAGGAATGTTTTGTAGCGGAAACATTTCGATGCGCTTATCTTGGGGGCACTTGACTCAACGCTCGACAACAGCCAGCGAATGGAAAGGAAAATCTGAAAAGGGTGCAGGAAAAGCGGTGAAAATGGGGCAGGGGGGGGAAGGCGGGGTGGAAAAGAAGAAGAAGGTACCGCGGAAGCGGCGAAAATAAAAATAAATTGTTTACATTGAGAGGCCAAAAGAGCCACCGCGAGACAAGTGCGCACTCCTGGACGCTGCATACTTTCACTTTGCGTTGTTGTACCGCGCTGGCCGTTAAATGCAATCAGCATAAATTATACGCCAGTGCACGGCAGGAAGGTTGCTCACAGCTGACCCGAAAACACATTTTCCAACGGCAAAAGACAGCGGCGGCGGAAAAGAAGGAGGCGCAGGACGAGCAGCTTTTCCTTTTTGGCAGCCACCACAAAACATCAAGAAGTTGGCCAAGCAGCTGCACTTGCCCGATGTTGTCGGAGTGGTTGGAGAGGGGATGGAGGGGGGAGGGGGTGGCCAAGAGGGGGTGGCATTTCCTTGAGGGAGGCGCCAATGGGTGGGGCTTTCCTTCTGCTCTTCATGTTTTGAGAGATGCCGGGCGACGTTGTCAAGTGCGATGCTGGCAAATTTATTATCCTAATTAGAAAGTTTCTTGTTGGCACTTGCTGCAGTTCTGCCACCCTTAAATCCCTCTATTTTCCACCCCCTCGACAGGCGACAGTTTGATATGCACTCAGAAAAAAGTCTTCAACATAATCAATCATCACATGGATGCTTTAGTACATTAACAGAAATAATATTATTTACTTTGATAACATTAATATGATGCAATTATTTGACTGCAATATGTATACAACTGTGGTGATTGGTGTTGCCAAGTTTAATTGGTATTCAATTATGATATCGATTTAGAAGATGCTTTATAAAAAATTTACAGTAAAACATATTGGCACTTTTCTGGGGCTTTGGCTTTACATACTTGAATCCAAATATTTTCTAGAAAAATAGTCGAGTCAATTACATTTCTTAAGTCCAAAAGTGTAGTAAATGATAGTTAATTTTTTAAAGCTGATTTCTTAAAACCTAGTTAGTTTCTTTAAGTGAGTGTTTCGGCAAGTGCAACATGCGGCGCCTGGTGATTTAAATTTTTTATTGCTGCACATTAGCGCGCAAGTTTCTGGCAAGCATGTTGCACTTACCCCACCAGCCCCCCTCGCAACTCCCTCTGTCATTTTCAATTTCCCAACAAACTAGCATATAATAATTATTGATTTCAACTTTGGCCCCAGGCTCACAGTATTCAGTTGCGAGTGTGTTTGCGGGCCGCAGAGTGTGGCATAAAATTAGGCTCCCAAAAGTTACAAGCACCCAGCCAACCACCGAAAGACCCACCCACCTGATCTGGCGTGCAACCACACCGATAAGCAGGTGGCCAAACTTATGTCTGCATGCCGTAAATTAAATGCCAAAATGCAGCAAAGTGATAAAAGAAATCAAAACCGAAACCGAAGCAAGTGAAAGTCTCAAGGGAAATGAAGAAAGTAAGTGGGTGGTTGATTGGGTGGATGTTTTGTGGGCTGTGTGTTGTTGGTGCAGGTGCACTCAGAACTCACCATGCCATCTATGCCACCAAAAACTCACCACTTTGTTTGTCAGTTCACAATGCTCGCAGTGTACCGCCAGACGTCATGCGTTGGAATTTCCCGTCCAACAATTCGCTTGGAAAATTCCCACACACCATTGTGGCACAATAAGACGCATGCGCTGCATTTCCCCCATCTCTCCATTTCCCCCCTTGTTTTTACATCCACTTCCATGGCGGTGGGTGGCAAAGTGGGTGGGCAAGGCAGAAGAGCAGCTGATGTTGGCGTGAAGCGCGCGTAAACCCACAAAAAGTTTCGCTTAACCCACAATTGATCTGCGGTGGTTTGAATATGATCATAATTAAGAATCCATTCAGGTTAAATTCATTCATTTATTCGACAACGGCCTTGTCTTGGTGGATTTATCTTATAATTTCTGATAGCTTTTCACATTTTTAAAATACAGATATATTGTATAAAAGTATTTGATGCCTAACAATCAAATAAAAGTCATAATGTATCAAGTAACATTAAAGGAAATTAAGATACAAATTCCTTAAAAAAAACTTCAAAACAATACTACTATGAAAATGTTATGAAGTTCTTTTTTCATATTTTTAATACGTATGTGTGTTAAGAATTTGAAGCAATCCCTCTCATAGGAAACCATTTATTGTTAATATTGCTGTGCTTAAATATGAGACTCTTAAAAGATATTTTTTGAGCTCAATCTTTATATTTCGCCAAACAAATTTACAGTCGAACTTCCGTAGCTCCAGGAAGATATAACTTTTTTTTGGTTGAGATTATAGAATATATTTTAAATTTTCAGCAAGCACTCGCCTTTGAACTCTTAAACTCTTAAACTCTTTTTAATAACTACCTCGATCTGCGTCACGTTAGCCACTTTTTCCCTTTTTTCGTGCCCCCTAAAGTCTGCAATTCGAGTGGAGTCCACATCGCAGTTTTGGGTTTCCCTTGCAGCGACGTCATTTCATTCAGTGCCTTTCGTTTCGGGGGCTTTGTGCACCGTCATGGTCCTTACTACAGCCAGCAACAACAAAGAATGCACTTGCAGCGGCTGTGGCAGCCATCCATCGCTATAGTTCCTAGCTTTTCCGCATCCAGCACGCGCAGCACCACCCACTGACCCACCCACTGACCACCCACCGCCTGCTCGGCTGGAAGGCAAAGGCAAACACGTTGACTTTGCGAGAGGTTCGCCTTGAAGGTGGCAAACACAAACAGCGAGGCACACACACACACACATACACTCACAGGGAAAAACCCGCTGACCCTTAAGTAGGCGGTGGGCGGTGGGTGGAAAGTGGGTGGCTGGGGGGTGGTGGGCGGCAGCAGCTGTCAATGTTATCGCTGCTGACTGCTACGTCGACTGAGGGCAGCGGCAGCGGTGTTGGCCACGCGCTTAACTTTATTTTTAGTTCGGCACTGGAAATCGCCATGGGAAAGTGGGCAATAGCAACAACAACCACTGGCCGCCGTGTAACATTGTTATTGGAAACGTTGTAGGCTCCAACAGCCACCGAGAGTGAGAGAGAAAGAGAGAGAGAGAGCGAGTAGGCGCAAGGGAAAGCGAATGGCAGCGTAAAGTGAAAATTCCATTGAGATTTTTTATGAAATCGAAACGAAATTAGTTTTCGATGAACTTTAAAGGCGAGTAAACAGCCGCAGCGGTCGTTCTCGCGGATTTCGCACGTGTGTGGCAAAGAAAAAAAAAAAAAAAAAAATAAAGGAAAATATTCTACTACTCATAATATAGGCAAAAATACGTTGCTGGAAAATCGGAAAATCCACGCTAGCGAAATACGAGTGAAAAGCGCAAAAGCCCCCGAGTGAGTGAAATCGAAAGCGAGGCGGGCGGAAAAGCGAAAGCCAAACTCTGTGAAATGTAAATGTCGAGTTAAAAATAACCTTGGTGTGAAATTGTACAATCCGAAAAGTAGAAGGAGGCCCGGAGGAAAAGCCTGACATGTGGCTGTCGGGCGGAGAAAGTGGAGAAAGTAAAGAGAGCGGCGTCAGTTAAACAAAATGTACTTAATTGGCCATGAAGCATGAATAATTGAAAACTTGGCATTGAACAGCAGCCAAGGCTAAACGGCCTGCAGCCGGAATTAAACAAAAAGTTTTCTTAAAAAAGCCAAAACCCTCTTTAAAGTGTTAAAATGTAATTTAAAATATCCCCAACAAAGTGAATGTGCTAAAGAAAATTTCCAAAAGAAAAAAGGTAACCACGACCTTGAAATCACTTTAAATCTGCCTAATTGAGCGAAAGCGTATCCAACAACCAAAGCGAAAAAGCAAACAAATTTGCTCTCGAATCAGTCAATCGACTAACAATACACTGCGCAAATTGTGGCGCCCAACGGACGCTTTTGCACCGAGCCTCTGAACCACCCAACCACACCAGCTACCTACGACCCCGAACCCAAGGGCCTAAAAACCACCCACTCACCCACCAACACACCCACCCACCCACACACACACACTCACTTGCAAAAGAAAATGCGGAGGCAGCACCAACTTAATATTATTGTTTTATTTTTTTGCCATTTTGCTGTTGGTTAGCAGGTAGAAGGAAAACGCTCGATTTGTTTACTGTACTGCCACGCAATCTTTGTGTGTGTTGTGGGTGGTTGGGTGGTGCTTTTAGGCGCCACCTGAGCCCCAGTATATGTGTGTGTGTGTGTCGGGTGGTTGGCTAACATGCCCAGCAATTTGTACCGCAAATTAGGCAACGTCCTGAACCAGAATTAAACAACAACATCAGCTCAAGGAATCTGGATTTGTAAATAAGGAAAACAAAACAAAAATATATAAAAAAAAAACCTTCGAAATTTACTGACATACGGAAATATAACTTGAAAAAAGCCCCAAGCCTAAAAAGAATTTCACAAATTAAATAAAAAGCTGAGTTTTGAGGTGAGTGTCAGTTGCAGTTAGTGAAGCTTCTCTTGAATTGCACCCACAACAGCTACAACAACCACAAAAACAACAACTGCCACACACAAACACACTCACATCAACGAACCACATCAAAACCGCAAACAAAATGCTTAGACAGCCAAAAAGTGAAATATTTAAATGCAAAATGCAAATAGATTAGCACCAAGTATAAAAAAATGCTTAAAGCCTACAAAAAAAAAATGGCAAATAGCAAAAAAAATCAAAATTCGGTCAAAAAAAATCAGTTACAACAGCAACATAAAGAACAACAACAGCAAGGCAGCATCAATTGAAACAAAAACCGTTGAGGAATGCAGAAAAGCAGAATAGAATGGTGGCGAGCCAAAAATTATGGCTCTTTTGGATAAATGCCAATCATAGTAAAGTTTCAATTTATAATGGAGAGCACGAATTCAGCTAATTATTTTAAAGGACATTTTTTAATACCAGTTTGGTTGAAATATAATAAAGTCTAAATTTTTTTATTAATTTTAGAAATCAGAAATAATACAATTTAATGGATTCGAAGATACGAAGTTAATTTTTTAAAAATATGGCAAAATTAAAAAACGTAACATTGATTTAGTTTAACAAGGCAGGTGACTCCATCCACACTCATTTGAATTCCATATCACTTAGCAGATATACAATGCGTTTTAGACAGCTCTCGATTTGTTAGTTACACTTTACAGCTACAGTTTTAGCCGCAAATTTTGAATATGTGTGCAAGCCAAACCCCACCACCCCCGCCCATAAAAACAAATACCGCTCAAAACTATGTAACAAATTTGTGAAATGAATTACATTTTCGATTAAACACACAAAATCAATAGCTTCTAGATGGACTTAAAGTATGGGGGAGTGGGGGGGTCGAAAACTAAAATGGCAACCGCAACATCAACGCGAAATGTGTCGCATATGGGCAACCAGGCTGTGAATAAGTAAATATAGACCGCACTCCTGCGTGCTTGTGTGTGTGTGTGCTTTACAGGATATATAAGCGGGTGTTTGGCTATTTTAAAATGCTACCGACTGAGGATCTTTGGGGAATGGGTCTGAATTTAATTAAATCGTTGACCAACACCAGTTGACGTTGATGTTGCCTTGTTTGTTGTTGTTGCTGTTCGTATTTGTGTTGTTGTTTGTTTGCATGTGCAACTGTGCGTATGAGTGACATTAATGCGAACATTGAGGCTGGCCCACGCATAAAGTGCGTGTGAAAGTGTAGGTGCCGCCTGTTTGTTTGTCTGCGTGTGCTGGTGTTTGTGTGCCCGTTTGCGGCCATTTGTGTGCTATTTATGCGCCTGCGTGTGTTTGTGTGTGTTTGTGTTTGTTTGAGTTGGTTTAAAAATAGCACAAGCTACGGCTGCTTTCTCCAGCTCTGCCGCTGATGATGATGATGGTTTTAGTGTCCTTTTGCCAGCCCAACGCCCATTAAAAGCCCTACTCCCCAACACCCCACCTGCTGCCACCCATTCCCTCCCCCCTTTCCGCCTGACAGCCAAAACTGGCTTGAATTTATGGCCAAAAATATACAACAGGAAGCAGCGGCACACACACACACACGAATGTAAAATTTGTTTGATTTTTCGAATTTCTTTGTATGTTGCACAATACGATGATTGTGCGCAGCCTTTCCACAGGGACAACAACAATAAGAACAACAAACAACAACGATACGTACAACAACACGAACAACAATAAGAAAGGTCGCCAAGGGACAGAAATGACCGTGTTTTTGTGTACATTATTGATTTTTGCTTTCTTTTCTTGGTCTTTTGCGCCTTTCACTTGCCCCCTTTCGTGGCGCCACCCCCCGCACTACCCCCTAAACCAGCCCATGCCCCAACAAGCAGATTGTGCGTGTGGTTTCTCAAATAATTTACTTTACTTTGGCTTTGTTTTACTTTCGTGCCTTCTTTTGTTTACACTGTTATCGTTTGGTCTTGCTGTTTTTATGTAATTTTTTCATACTTTTTTTTTTATTTTTATATCACTTGTTTTTGGTTTTGTTTGCCATCGTTGTTATTGTTGCTGTTGTTGTTGTTGCTGCTGCTGTTGCCCATTATGCGCACAATAAACGTTTTGTATCGTGACCAAAGTCAAATGAAAGTATGCCAGGGGTATGGCCCACAAAACACAAGTGTATGTGTGAGACGATGCCTGTATATGTGTGTCTGTGTGTCTCGGAAAACTAGTTCTTTTTCGCACCCAAGGCGATTTTCCGAGTAAGTGTTGGCATGCTGGTGTCCGTGTGAGTGTGCATTTGTTTTAAAGAAACGGTTGAAAATGCGTTTTCAACAACTTTCATTGCCTACTTTCAAGGGCAAAAAGTAAGCCGCAATTCTTATTGAGTAAAATGCATCAGATATGTAAAGTTGAATGCTTTTAGCTGCTTATAAGCACTCAAAACCATCCGACCTAAGCTATAAACAAACATTTAGCTAAGCACAGCAATAATTAGGGGTAAAAATAGATAAGTAATTATTTTAGTGTATTATAATTCCTTGACCATCACTCGTATTTACTTATAACTTGTATAAATCACTAGGGAGTGTAGTTCTATTATATACCTATTTAACTATTTATTATCATCCCTCAATAACGTAGCTAATTTAATTAATTTACCACTAAGCTAAGTTAGTAAGCTAGTTAAGCGCTAGTCGAATTCACATTTACCACTCGAAATCACCTTTGAAATATTGTTTTCATATATTTTTCTCCACTCTTTCTCTCTCTTTGGTCCACCCTAAAAATGAAACTGCAACCAACTTGCCCGCCACAATAAACCATTATGCCACAAAACAAAAATAAAACCCAAAATACCCAATGAATAATCTAAATAAAACCAAAAAAAAAAACATCGAATAGCAGGTAATTTTGGCGGCGTTCAAAGTGTCCAAACCGTACTCTCGCCCGGCGATCTACAGATTCATGCAAATGTAAGCGAAAAGAATTAAATCAAGGCCCGAAGGCATTTAATGCGAATTAATTTGAATGTGTGTGTCTCTTCGATGTTATGTTTTCTTATGAGTTACCACACGTCACAAGCGAAAGCAAGGAATGTGCGATTTTCTTAGTTGTTAACTTTGTTTTCTTTGTTCGAGCACTGTCGTTCCACTCACACTTTCTCCCACACTTTCCTCCACTTTCTCCTCCCTAGATTTTTCAACAATAGCCATTAAGCTGGTTATGCAATCAAACGTTTCTCAGTCCGTATTTCTTTTGCTTCCGATTCTGCTCTCTCGATCATCACTTGATTTCCTCAAACACTCCACACACTATCTCTCTTTTTGGCTGTGAACACACGTTATCGTTATTTGACGAGATTTTCGAACACTTTTGTCTTATGTATTTGTTATTTTCCGCCTTTTTTATGTATCTTCTACGTTTTTAAGCCCTACCTGTAAATGTGAACGAAAACAAAAAGAAATTTTGACAAAACAAGAAATCTTGGTGAATAATTTGCATGGATATCGTAACGCTGTTTCCCGTTTCCTCCTAACTTCAACCAGAACTCACACTGCCTAACACACACACATCGAAAATATTCAGAACATTCAACAGTTACACTGTCCCCGTGGGCCACCACCACCCCTCGAAATACTCCCGAAGTTTTAGCTTGTAATTTAATGCTCTTGCAACTTTTAGCCACAACAGATAAGTATTTCAATGCCTTGTATTTCTCCGAACCCATGACAACCGGGCACTTAACTCTTGAGTCATATTCTCCTGGCCCTGGCACCTTTAGATCCAGCAATTGCTGGCACTCGTAGCTCTAGTCGTAGGTCTACTTATGATACTCGTACTACACATACTTAGCTTACTCATGCAGTTGCGGTCAAGAATACCGAAATGTCGCTGGTTTTTCGAACATTTGAAATAATTAAATGGAATTACAAAGTGTTTCTTGACAAGTTAGCTTGTCTTAAACAGAAATAAATGTCAAACGTATTATTAACAGTCAGATGAATAAATAAAATATATTTTAATTCATAAACATTTTTCTCTGCATATTCTGTACATATTTACTTATCTATTTAGGTGGTATGAAACACATAATAATAGTAACAATTAGTTTCATTAAAAATTTCATAAACCTTAGCATCTTTCAGTTAAAAATAGTACAAAAATCTTTAGTAGTTTCTTTAAAAAGTTTCTTTAATGGAAGGAAACTTTTTAATTTCAATGCTTACTGAATTTACAGAAATGTTCGAAAAACAATGGCGATAGTACATCATTTGTCACAAGATCTCAAAACTCGCAGGGTTGCATCAGACCCGATTCCGAAAACTAAGTCTAATAACATATCATACGTATATTTTGCTTTAAACTTTTGCTTTCTCAACCGATCGATTACCATTATGATTGTGTGCATTTGTTGACACATCTGAAAAGGACAACAAACTATGGCAGGCAAGCGGCGCAGTCCCTCCGCAGAGTAACCCCACCCGAACCCCTGAAACCCCAGTGAACCCCCGCCAAACCCCCCTCAAATCCCGCAGAGCAATACCCGTAGTAGCGTTTATAGCCACACCCAATCAACATCTACCAATCCTACAGGCGGGCGCCTCCAGGTGCGCACCTCTCTGGATCCTTGGCGCCAGCAGCGCAGCCTCAACGAGCGGGATCTGCTCAGCGTCGGCGGCGGTGGTGGTGGGGGCGTCGGTGGTGCTGACTTCCGCCACCTGTCGCACGCCACCCAGCGGCTGTACTCCTCCGCCGATCAGCGGGATCGCTACGAGCTGCAGCTGCAGCATCGCGAGCGTCTGGAGCAGTATCCGCTCACGCGTACCGCTCGGCTGGACGTCCAGCAGCGCAACTCGCTGAACCGCAGCAACCACGAGCGGCAGTTCTCCAGCGGCGGCAGCGGCGGCGGTCCAGTTGCAGGAGGCGGTGGGGGTGGTGCTGCTGGCGCCTACCGACGTGCCCCGCCCTTGGCAGCCGCCGGCGGCGGTGGCAGCAGCAGCAGCAGCACCACTAGCAGCAGCTACTATCCCCAGTCGAAGCCGCAGATTGTGATTGGAACGGGATCGGGATACGATCGCGGATCGGCGGTATCCATGGCAGCGGCGGAGGCCCAAGTTCAGGCGGCGCGAGGAGGTGGTCAGCGTGGTGGCCTGCTGGGCACCACAAGGGGTGGCGGTGGTGGTGGCAGCAGTTCGGTCAGTTCCACCGAGGCGGCCTACTGGGACGAACCGGCCACCAGCTCCTCCTCGTCGGCGGCCCAAGATTCGCGGCGATTCACCGAGCGCAGAATAAAGAAGACGGTGCGCTTCGATGCCCACGACGAAGAGGCCTCCATACTGGCAGCCAGCTCACTGCCACCGGTCACGGCAATCCTGCCCTCGACGGCTGTGGATGTGGGTGCGGCCACCATATTGAGCAGTGGGAAGAGTCTTGAGGCCGGCGCAGCGGACTGGGCGCGTTGGGAGGCCGAGAGACAGGGCAGCCAGGACTCGGCCACCAAGGACTCGGGCATCGATACCAGCAGCACGTTCACCAGCAGCGAGGATTCGAACCGAGGAGATGGGCCCAAGGTACACAAGGATGTCGAGATGAAATACGGAAATCAATGATGGGCAAGAGTGCATTGTGTCTGTGTAGAGTCTCCCCCCTCTTTGTCTTTTTCGTCCCCATCTCTGGACCCCACTTTCCGTTTGTCTGTGTGGAGAATAACCCGATGAAAATCCCAAAAAGATAACCCCACCAACTTTCTCTGTTTGTTGTTCTTGTCATGTCCAAAAAAAACCAAACCATAACCCCCAGAACATAATATCAAGCAATAATATCGTTTTTGGTTATCACTCCCAGCTCGCAACAAACTTCCAGCTATTATGACAAACATCTTGACAATTTCAGCATACAACCTCACTGAAACCCCGAGAAATTCGAAACCCACAAAGAACTAATCTTGCATGCCCAAATATTCCGATCTTTTCCAAACCTCTAAGTGTTGTGCTTGCATGAAGCTCCACCTAAAAAGAACCCCTATTAGCACGCCCTGCATGACCCCTAAATGTCGTTAGCCCACACTGTTTATAGCATTCGAAATTTATCTAATCCATACCTCGCATTGAGGTAACTCTTGAAACGTGTGTGTTCTCAAAACCAGTAGGAAAACCAAAAAAAACAAACTATGTATCTATACCTATGCGCAACTATGCAACTATCCGTGACTGAGTAGAACATGTTTCTAGCCTGTAAGAAAAACAAAACATGAATTTCAAAAGTGTACAAACTGTTATTTTCTACTGTTACACATATATTTTCGTTTAACAACTCTATCTGTAAGTTTAACCTAGGGTATAAGCTCTATGTCTAAGGCCTGTGACGGTGCAAAAAGCTAACTAAAAACAATTCTACTTCCCGCATACGATGGCTCCCCACCGACACCACATCCAACAACCAAAAATCTATGCACGATCATCCGCAATCCGAACTGTAAACTGTTAACCACCAATCCCACCAAAAAAAAAAAAAAAAAACAAATCACCAAACCAACTACCATCCCACACCCACAATCGTAAATCGATCGCTGCATATAGAATCCGGTGAATTGGCAAACATCCGCGGATAATACTCGCCTGATCGGGCACATGATATTGCGTAAATACTATGATGGGGAGGATATATTAGGCTTAAAGGTCAACGGCGGTCAGCTCCTCGGAACGGGAACGGGAACGGGAACAGGAGCGGGAGGATCGGGCGGCGGAGGTCCATGCGGGGCCATTGTGGAGAAGGTGAAGCGCGGATCGGTGGCCGATCTCGAGGGAAGGATACGACCAGGTAAAGTGCATCCCAACCGTGCATTCCACCTCCCCCCCCCACTTGCCACCGCATCTCACTCTGACTTTTCTCTCTATTTCTATCTGCCTGTGATCAAACATCCAACCAAACACCAACCATTCATCCGATCATCCATCGATCGCCGAACGGTCATCAGGCGACGAGATCCTCGAGTGGAATGGCCGCGGGCTGCACAACAAGAGTGCCGACGAGGTGTACGACATCATCGACGAGAGTCGGCTGGATGCCCAGGTGGAACTGATCGTGAGCCGTCCGATCATCAGCGGCGGCAGTGGCGGCAGCAGCAGCAACGTCAGTCCCATCAGCGGCGCCTCCGGCGGATCCGCCAACAGCGGTGCCCCCGCTCGCCGCTCCTCGGCCAACTTCCCGCACAGCGGGCTGGCCAGCAGCATGGCCGGCAGTGCGGTGGTCAGCAGCGGCGGACGATATCTCCAGCGCAAAGGTACTACTAACTATATAGGGCTTTGCCGGGGTGAATGTTTGAGAAAGTGTGACTGATATGAGTTACTTGCTTTGTAATAGATGCAAAAAACTTGGATAAAATTCAGGGAAACTCCATTTACGGAATAGTTTCCATTTCATAATTTCAAAAATAATCACACACTGACACTTAAAGTTCATTTGTGGTCACTGACTTACATTTACATTTTACATTTTTGGAAGAGGTTAGGAAACTTTAGTGACACCTGATCAAAAATATGTGGTTTCAATGAAAAGTTTGCAAATAAAAGCCAACTAATTAAATATACATTTTAAAGGAAAACTTCTATATAGCTAGCTTTCAGCTAGCCTTTCAACGAAAATATACTTAAATTTGTAATGCATCTTAGCAATAAACATCGGAAACTGAAGCTACTGCACTTTTTCGTTTGTTAGCATATTAATGTAAAGCCAGCTCTTTACCAATTATTCAATGATCTCAAGGGCCACAAGAGATCTGTAGCTTTGTTGTATGCTCTACTACATATTAGAGATTCTTTGACTAAAAGAACTTTTGGTCCAACACATTAGTGCCAAGACCCAGTTAGAATGCAAATATGTTTTGTGTACCAAAGATCACAGTCTCATCCACTGAAGTCATTGCAAAATAATGAAAATCAACTAACGATACCACTAACAACACGCCAATCCGACCTTACCGCAACTCAAATTAAATAACTTCCCGGCCACATTCCTGATTTAAACCCGTTGTGTAATTTACCAACAGCACCTGCAGTCGAGGCTATTGAAATCCACCGTGACAAGCCGAGTGTGCTGATCACCTCGCCCGGTTCACCGGACATCCACCCCAGTGTATCCGGACCGGGATCGGGATCGGGATCAGGAGCAGGCGGCAGCGGACACCGGCAACGTGGCGGCGTCGGGCAGACGCAGCGCCTGGGACCAAGCCACAGCACCCACAGCCACAGCAGCAGCGGGAGTGGCAGCGGCAGCGGCAGCAGCACCAGCAGCGTCCACGCCCCCACGCCCCCCAATCCACTCACGGACCGCCCGGCCACGCCCACGCGTCCGCGTCCGCTTCCGGTTCCGCCCCTGGCGGCCTGCACGGCACAACGACGGCGGGCCACCATCACCACCATTACCACCACCCGCATCCGCATCCGCACCAGCATCCGCTTCAGCACCAGGGTCCGCCCGCCGCCCACCTGCAAGGCCACGGGGTGGGCGGTGGCAGTGGCTCCGGCACCACCACGCAGCACATCCCCATCGAGGGGCGGCTGCAGCTGAAGCTCGGCTACGACCAGAACACGCTGCAGCTGATCGTGACCCTGGTCTGCGCCACCGGCCTCTCCCTGCGACAGAGCGGAGCGGGCCGCAATCCCTATGCTAAAGTGAGTACATCACTTCAAATTACTAGTTTCATATGATTTTATAGATACACCATCAAAAAATTAAGATCAAACCGCTTTTATATATGAAATTACTATCGCCAGGACTCTAGAATTTTATGATACGCAATATAAATATCGATTCATTTTCACAGTTATTACGTTTAAGTCTTAAAACTTCTTTTAAAAAATTCAGTGGTCGACAAAAATATAGCCCAAGACTAAGCGCTAATGATTCTAAAGGCTAATAATTGATAATCCAAAAGACAAAATTGTCCATCAATTCCCAGTTTTAAGAATATCTTAAATATATTAATTTTATACATTTATTTATTAACACGGAATTACTAAGTGGCCACCCTTAAAAGGTTCTCAAAATCATAATCGGGAATAATAAAAGTTTCGATTCTTGTAAGAATTTTGTAAATTCCTTTTTTTTATTTCCTATTTGAAGATCAATGTTATTAAACTTACTATAAAATAGTTTCAAAGAGGATACCGCCGGAAAAAAATATAATTCTGAAAACAATTATGTTGTATTTATTATAATTTATTGTTATTTTCGAATTCCCTATTTTTGTATTAAGTATCCTAATATATTCTTAGTCTAATCACTGTCCTTGTTAAATATCATTGCAGGTGTTCCTTCTGCCCGATCGCAGCCACAAATCAAAGCGGCGAACGAAGACAGTGGGCACCACCTGCGAACCCCGATGGGGCCAGACCTTTGTTTACTCGGGTCTGAGACGCTGCGACCTCAATGGCCGACTGCTCGAGGTGAGTTTTGGCCATGTACATGTGGTCATCACATTAATATGTTTCACCTGCCAGGTGACGCTGTGGGACTATGTGCGGTATGGGGCCAACGACTTTATCGGCGAGGTGGTCATCGATTTGGCACACCACATCCTGGACGACGAGGCCGAGTGGTATCAACTGCAGCCCCACCAGGACACCTCCTATCTCGTATGTGTGGGCCGCGGCTCTTTAAGTTCGTTCATTTGGTTTCCATTTTGCGTTCGTTCGTTTCCGCTTCCTGGTTGTTGCATAAGTGTTGGTAATCACTTAAAAACGATGGAAACGTAAAGAGTTCAGGTTCAGATCCAGGAACGAAGTCTTGGCGAGCGAAAAACTTAACACAAATCTTGTTAAAGAAAAATGGAAAATGTTATGGTTTAATTATGTTCTTAATTTTCATTTGTAAAGCTCGATGTTTAGGCTGTTATGGGTTTCACTTTCACAAATTCGTTAATAATAATTATAATATTAAATTAAAATTCGTTATTAAATGAATTAAGTCCTAGCACTTGGAGTGAATTTCGTGATAGTGAAAGCCACAACTGACCTGTTAATGTCCTTTACCTACCCTCCACCCCCAATCCGCAGCAGCAACCCGGTTTGAACAAAATTATTAACTCAGCATTGTCATAATCTGTTTATTTTTTTCGTTGGTTTTTTGTCGTGCACCCGCCAATACATCACCACCCAAAAAAATACACCACCCACCATTACCAACAACAACAACAATAACAACAACACTTGCGTTTCGTTCCGTTACCCATACAACATTGCGACGCAAAATTTATGACAACAACCACGAAAACAACCATAACAACAACGCAAACAGTTACGTGACGAGGGCAGCGATGTGGACGGCCTGATACTGACACCGACAGATCATTTATCACCGCCGAGCACCATGTCGCGTCTGAGCGATTCGGACACGACGTCCGACTGCGACATCGATGGAATGACGCCCGGGGCAAGCATCTCGTCGATGGGCAGCTCAGCGAGTCCGCCGCCCCTGCTAGAGGTAAAATCCAGAGCAACTACCACAACAACTTCAAACAAACAACTTTAACAACAACAACAATAACAACAACAACAGCCTGATCAACAACAACAACATCATCAGAGCAACATTTCACTAGGCACACACCAAAACTGAAATTGAATCAAATTTATTATTTCACACAAATGTATATAATACACACGAAGAAATAAGGGGAGGTTGAACCAAAGCCAAAACAACTGACAGCAAACAGGAGTGAGGACACCAGAGACACTAACACATGCATACATTAGACTTCAATCGCAGCTTGCCACTTCCAGTGGCACTCAGCCCCATACACAAATACATGCGAACATTCCCGACTACTTTGAAACCCACCCACTCACATACACATAAAGCCCACAAAGCATTTGACGCTGGTTTCATAGCACTTAAATAAAAAAAACTATGCTGTCTGTATACTCTTGTATAGGAATTAGTTACTATATATAATAAATTGGATGAAAAAAGTTTTTTTAATAAATCTCAGATAGCGCGAAAATAATAATTACCTTATGATTATTCCACTTATATCACTTATGTCACTTTAAATGTAAATGTTTTCAACTAGTTTACAAATTGTATTTTTTACTTCCTTTGGGAAAAGTTAAAAAAGTTATTTCTTATATATTAATACATATTGTGGCAGGATTTAATAACGAAAATTATTAGAAAATCTTAAATAGGGTTATAAATTAGTTGCTTTTAAGGATTAATTCCAAATTTAAATCAGTCTTAATTAAAGTAAGAGTATACAGTCATCGGTGCGTCGAAAATGTGGCTGGTGCTTTGCATAGTATGCTTACTTGAGCTCCTATAGTTTGTTATCTCTCTCTCTCTCTCTCTATGTGTGTGTGCTTTTTTCTAAATGTAACTCACATTTCACATGCCATGAGCAGCATCAGCATAAGTATCATCACCATCAGCCAGGCAACTCGTTGGCCATCATCAGCACAGCAATCGCAAACAAAAAGAATAACCCATACATAGCCATCGTGTGTGCTCCATCAGAGGACTCCGTTGCGGTTCCAGTTCCTGTTCCTGTCAGTTATCAGTTCTCAGTTCTCAGTTCGCATGCCACAAACACGAATACTAAACACCAACACAGTCACACACTCTAACTGGTTCATGGTCAGAGGGACAGAATCGGACTGATGCCGACTGTTCATGTTTTTGGCCAAAACAGGACATGACACCTCCCAGCAATTGTACAAAGTATTTTGGTTATCATGATGTTTTGAGTTCGTTTGAAACTTTTATTCAACTAATTGGTGTCGTTGTTTGGTTGTGCGTGTGTTAAATTTTTCTCTCTCTCTCTTGATCTACTGACTCTATCTCTTCGAAGTCTAAAACTGTCGTTCTACTAACTTTCTGTACTAAAATCCAAGCTCGATTTGGTCGCGTCTTTTCAGCCAACGATATCTATTACTATTGCATTTAAGATCAAAGTTAATCTAGTCTAAGTCTTATAAGCCGAATATTTTAAGTTATGAATCCGTGTAAACCTAAACTTGAGAACACATACTGCCCAAGGCTGTCTCTAAACAAACTATCTCTCTCTGTCATAAGATCCACGATCGAACTGTCATCGAAGGGCACTTGAAAACAGCTTTTGCATGCCGTTGTAGAGAACCGCTTTTGCCCATCTATCCATCACTTAGCACCTGCCAAATGCCCGTCCTGCTTTCCTTGTGGCTTCACCTTGTAGCTTTAAGTGTGTAGCATTGCGTATACTTGATGTGAGTTGAGTTAATCGAACACAGACTCCGAGAAACACCAAACGAATCCCAAAAACCTAGAGATACTCCCTCACAAACACAATGTAAAAGGCCAATATCCAAACGGAATATTTAAAATCCCACACACTTCGAAACACCTTCACACTGTTCTGCAGACTCTTCACTCATTTTGATCATATGTAAATTTCTGTATTGTCTACTCCTTCTTTTTCTCTTGATTCTTACCTCTCACTGAAACCCCCAAACCGAACCACCGCCACCCTGTTGAAAACCCTTTCGTCCCGCTCCACTCCAATTCCCAAACACGACGATCCAGCTCGATCTAAACGAGCGTCGGTCCAGACGTGACATGTCGCCCCAGGGCCGCAAACGGGTGGCCGGGATGGTGGCCCGCGACTACCGCACTGTATCTGGCATTGGACAAAGTTACCACAATCAGGTTTGCACCCAAGCTAAATTAACGAACAACCTAACTAAATGGCCGAAAAGAAGGCCAAACAAACAGAACAGTACAGACAAAAACATTTCAAATGGAGAGATTAGCTCAGGAAATCTTCGGGGTTGAGTTGTCGGCACTCTGTTGTCATCACGTGGAAAATTATCTAATATACTTCAAGCTCAAGTCTCTTTCAAAGAGACTTCTAACCTTACCAAAGGATATAGCTTTCAAGAAGTCATAAATTATAGGGCATCTTAAAGTCACTTCATTGACTCACCAGATAATCAGTCCAAAACATATATTGACCATTATCAATCCCACAAGTATAGCTAGTTTAGTTAGACCAAAACCACCGCCAACTTACTGCACTTTCAATTCAGAGTTTATGCTAATCTTTTACTTAACCTAACTAACCGATTAACCCACCAATAATCTAACAAGCCGCTCGCGGCTCTAATTGTATTTTAATTGATTTCGTTTGGAAAGTGTATTTTTTAACAATTTGTATGGCTCTCTATCTCTTGCTCTCCTAACTCTTAACTCAGTAACTACGTATAATGATATATATATGAAGTTATTTGTATTAATGTTCTAGTAGAAGTTTCAGTAACAACAGTTAATCAAAAACACAAAACACTCCCAAACACAAAAGACCAAGCACACTGTTAATGCCTGACTCAGAACCACTCGATCACCCAGAACCACTCACATGCCTAGTCAGTAAGCTTTAATCCGAATGTTTGTCAGAAGAATCCCTGGTGCCCTGTGTGCGGGGATCACTGAGCTTCGTTCGAAGGGTGCACCACTAAATCACACTCTACTTTCCATGCCACCACCTGATGCACCACCATCCGCAGGCCTCTGCCACCGGTTATTATCGTCGCGGAGTTGGTAATGGTGTCGGCTCAACCATCGGTCCCGGTGGCATGAGCCTTAGCCAGCGGAGCCACTCGGCAGCACCCAGCGACGGTTACCACAGCAGCAGCGGACTGCCCTCCGGCGGATCCGCCTACGGCTACAGGAGCACCAGTCCGCGGCGGGGCTCCCTCTCTCCACCCGACGACCGCTACATAGACTATCCAGTGCTTCCAGTTCACGGCTCGCCCAACGCTCCATCGGTCTACCAGGGTCCGGGTGGCGCCACCTCAGCGGCAGCGGCTGCATCGCAGCAGCAGCGATTCCAATCGCGCTCGGCCACAGCCACTCCGACAGGGTCCCCAAAGAAGAGGCAACTACCACAGGTAATCAAGAGAGTGTTGATCAAGCAATTAGGATTCCTGCATTAATAAATCAAACTTAATTGCTGTCCCAACCCAGATTATGGGTTATTAACTCAGCACTGTCTTATTTTTTTTTCGTTTTTTTTTTCGTTGGTAAACTCACCACAAAAAAAAGGAGGGGGGAAAAATTTCGTCGATGTTACCCTTGCTTCAAAACATCACTACCGAAAGAAAAAGGTATACATAAGAACTGTTTCATCCCAGCCAACAATCAATTTAATTTTAGTAGTAGTTATTAGCGTAACTCGTAGAGTAAAACTGTATATTGTCCGTCCTGTCCGTCCGTATAAACGTTAAGGTCTCAGGAACAATAAATGCTAGAGAGTTGGGATAAGGCAAGTTTCAAAAGTCAGCAGCGCCCACTAAACGTCAGCAAATCGTGAAATTCGTTGGAGTCTTGGTAGAGAAACTTTTATGTCCAGTAGATATTAACATCAAGAACATAACCCACAAACCATTTCTTAAATCGATTAACTATTTCAGAAGTTATCAAAAAATGAAGTTTACCAAGGTCAACATTATTAAAAAACTCCTTTTTATTACATAACGCTTACCTTATTCCTTCAATTTAAATCACAGGTGCCGCAGACCTCTCGCAGTGCCATGCTGCGGGACCGCCTCGGGCAGGACTTTGACGAGCGGCTGGCATCGGGCGGCCGCTTCGGACGGCACCGCACACGGCAGCCGCACCACCAGGCCACCTACCGCAGCACCGGAATGGGCGGCTGGGAGCGCCACTACACGGGACTTGTCCGACAGCGACCTGCAATCGATGGACGCGCGCATGCGTCCGCGGCACTCGCTGTCGCCGGACAAGGACTTCATGGGCGAGTTCGGCGACTCGGACATGGAGTCGGTGGTCAGCGTAACCTCCAGCGCCTTTTCCACGCAGTCGGAGCGACCGCGCACCTCTCGCGGACTCAGGTAAGTGGCCGGCGGGCTGAGGAGAGGATGAAGGAGGAAGGAGTGCCCAGTCAGGCCGAAGCCATTAGCCATTAGCTAAATAAGCCAAGCTACCTGCCAAAATTCTGCTGAAATTCCGCTCTGGGCCACACGCCAAGTGGTATCATCCCACACATATTTTCTGAGTAGTAGCTGCGAGCAAAATCCAAAATTGCCCTGAATTAGGCTCCAAATTAGACTCGGTATTCGATCATGATCAGAATCGGCGCGCTTACCGCCCAAATCTCTCTTTGATACACACACCGTACATCAGTTACTCGCTCACACAGATACACCAACACCCTGATACGAACACCGAAACCAACGAAAAACGATAGCGAAAACATAAAGTTTCTTTTTTGCATTTACTTTTTGCGTTTGCCAAACCAACCGACAAAATCAAACCGCTCAAATAAAAATCAAATCTATATGAAAATCTCAACAACAATCAACAACGCCGCTCTCGCCGCGCGTACTCTCTTTGTGTTTGTGTTTGAATGCTTCTCTCGCGTGCTGTGCTCACCACACGCTTACACGCCAATCACTCACCACTAACCACAAAACTCAACAACACACCACAACTTACCACGAAAATCGCCACTCGCTACTCATGACACCAATGTGTCCACTCACCTCGAACCAAACGCTGACCTCGGACGTTGTTCGCTCTCTTCCCTCAAATGTGCCTTTTTAATTGTTCAACAATAACCTTTAACCCACCACACACTATAAACTCACCATACACCGAGCGCTGTTTATGAAACATCACGCTCATCGGGTATGGTTAATGGCATTTACCCTTTTCAACACTTTGCATGCCCCGAAACCTGAAAAATGTTTTCACCACGAAACACCCACCACCGCTGCCAACTGTTACCACCCGATACCACCCGTAAACACCCGATTCCACCCGTTACCGTTGCCCGCAATAACCGTTAGCTTCCCGCGCAACTGGCGCAATTTCTTTGGCGCCCGCAACAGTTTCCTCAGCGGCTCCGGAGGCGAACCCATCACCGGACTGCGTCTGCACCACTCGGAGCCCGGAAGGGCCAACACCATCGAGGTCGATGACTGCGACTATCTGCCATCAGGTGGTGCCCAGCAACTGGTGTTGCTGGAGCAGTTGGAGCAACTGCAACAGTTGGCTGCTCTGGCGGCGGCCGATTCCCCACCCATTTCTGCCGGCATTGGAATGGCGCCACATCAGGTGCTGGTGACCGATGCCAACAGCGGCCAGTTGGTGGAACAGTTCTATGTGGAACCCGGCACCATGGCCGAGGAAATGATGATGGAGCCACTCGATCCCCATTTGCATCCACATTCCGCCTTCTATTCGCCATCGCCCCATTTGCCACCACCGCCATTCGACATCGACATCTTTCCACCACGACGGTCCAACGGACAGAAACCGAACGTACAAGCCACCGCCGCTGCCTATCCGCTGCCGCTGCTGCCGAGCTTTGAGCAATTCAAGCGCATTACCACGCCCATCACGAATCTCTTCCGCAGCTCCTCGCCCATGGGCGTCCATGCCCACGCCCACGCCCACGACCACGCCTCCACAACGCCCAGCTCGCTGGTGGGATATGTGCGCGATCATCAGGACAAGAGCTGCAGCCACTGCCAGAATGGAAGTCAGCCGGTGGTGCTGTCGACGCACCACACCCTGCACCTAACCACCGCCGGTCTGGCGATCGGCGCCTGCCAGGATCCCTGCTGTCTGGCGGATGCCCATCCCCATCCCCAGCACCAGCCCATGGGGTATCCGTTTGGGGAGCCACTCTCCTCGGATCCGGCTATGTGCGGCGAGTGTGTGGATCAGCACTTTCTGGGCGGGTTGACGGGGCCGCAGCTGAATCTGGGCGTGGTGCCCACCTACCATGTGCACACGCCCACCCCGAATGCCCATCGGCGGGCCAGGGGACAAATGGCGACGCCTGCACCACCGCCCACACAATCGGTGCTGCGTCTATCGCGACAACTGAGCGAAGACGCCCTGGTGGCTGCGGTTCCCATTTCAGAGGCCAAGGCGCAACCCACTTCGATACTGAAGAAACCGAAGCTGGAGCGAAGGCGACTCTTCCACGAGGGTCAGTCACGGTCCCTGGACTATGATGATCTGCACACGAAGAGCTGGGGTCGCCGACGCATTCGGTACGAGGACGAGGTGATGCCCTCCTCGGCGGACTATCCCTATCCGCATCCCAGCACGTATGCCCATTCACCAACGGCGGCAATGTCGCGTCGCTACGGATCGGAGACCAATATCCGGCAGTCGTATATGGGCGCAAATGTGGATGCCAGCCATCCGTTGAGTCACTCGCATTTCCTGGTAACCGACGACAAGATAGTTACCATTACCTACGACTCGGATGTGGGCTGGACACGACGTGGGGTGGCTCCGTCGCTATTCCGAGGGGCGCACCGCCAGCGTGGACTGGCGGATGCCAGGCACCATATGTCGCTGGACTTGCAGCGAACCAGCCAACAGAAGTTGTACGGACCGGCGGCTCCATACCTAAAGCGCCGACGGAATCTGCCGCATCCACCAAGCGCGCAGAATGCCCACAACTTTTCACCAATGGAGCCGGGTTCGGGGATGGACTTGAACGCTGCGGCAGCGGGAATGGAGCAGGGCAACGGAATGGGTAGCGGTGGTGCACACAACACTACCAGTATCAGTACACACAATAGCAACCACCAACACACCAACCACCACAATAGCCAAGCGAGTAGTGTTAGTGTTAGCCAAAGTCACAATCAACAACAACAACAACTACAACAACAATCAGTTAGGCAAAAAGGGAAAGAAGGCACCACCGCCAACAGCGGATCGATGATGGCATCGGAGCAGCTGACGAAATCTAGTAGTGGGAGCGGTGGTGCAACATCTGCTGCCGCTGCTGGGCATCTTGTCGTCGGTGGTACTAATGCTAATAATGCTTCTTCTTCCTCTTTTGCAAATCCCCAACCACAACAACAACAACTTCATGGATCACCCAACAATAACAAACGTGCCCCATCATCAACACCACAACAACAATACACAAACACCAACATTGACGCCAACAACCTGACGCTTGACGCCACACAACAACAATTACAACAACAACAACCACCTTCACAACAACAACAACCACCAAATACATGCACAAATCTGATCACAAATACAACAACAACATTAACAACAACAACCACAACATCGTCGAATGCAACGAATGCGGCGACAACGACAACCGCAACAACAACAACAACAACGGCAACAACAAATGCTACAACAACTGCCACAAATCCAACAACGAATAACACGAACGAACCAAACGCAACAACAACAACGAACACAAATGCTGATGCGGATGCGGACGCGGATGCTCCGCTGGACGCAATCGACTGGGATGCCATCGATGCAATGTTGGACGATGACTTTAGCGAGTACGACAAGGACAAGAACGGAGCTGAGGAGGCGGGCGGCTCCAAGTCAGCGGAGGGTGGAGGTGCCGAAGATAAAGTCGGTGAGTAAACAGAGCTTACGAAGAATACTTCACCGATATATTGATAGATCTCATTATGAATTATCTGTAAATCTTTAATTTTAATGATTAACCCCCCTGTTAAATTTTAATTTCCGACTCAGGAGTAAAGTGTTGCCCTAGACATTCTTTTGCTTTAGATTTGTAAGATTTATATTTATTTGTATATTACAATACCCCTTAGATGGCAGCCTCTCGGACACCGCGAACGACCGTAAGAAGGGCGGCGGCGTCGACCAGGAGCGATCCCCCAAAGGAGGCAGCGGCATGGGCAAGAAGTCGAACTCCACATCGCAACTTTCAGCCACAGGTAGGGCGATTTTGTTCCGTTCTCTGTTTGCGCTCGTTTACCGTTCCGTTGCCTTGTGTTGCTCAGTCAGCCAGTCAATCAATCAATCCGTCAGTTGATCATTTGCTCAGTTGACCAGTTATTCGTAGCATCGTAGGCTTGGCCCGGAAATTGAAAGCCGGCTGGAGCATATACATCTGTCGTCCTTTTTTTTTCGTGATATAACATCCATTGCTTTGCCATTCGATTTTTCGTTGCCTTATACTAACATCATAGCCATAACCATAACCATAGCCAAGCTAACCCAACTAACCGATATATATAAAGTAAAACTAAGAAAACTAAAACTGTGTAAAATGCCGTACTCGAAGGTCGTAAAAGACGTATGGGCTTTGGAAAGAAGGGTAAGAACTCGTTCACGGTGCACCGCAGCGAAGAAGTGCTGCCCGGCGATATCACGCGGGAGCTGCGGAGCGGCGGCGTTAGCCTCGGCGGTGCCGGTGCCGGTGGTGGTGCCAGTGGCGCCGGCGGTTCAGGTGGCGCCGGCGGCGGGGGCGGCCTGTCCCGCGGCTCGTCCTCGGAGGCGGACGCCATCGAGCAGTTCTTCGGCGATGGCGCCGGCGGGGAAAGGTGCGCACAAGTCTAACTTTCTACTCCAAACTATATTCTCTCTCTACTCTCTACTCTACTCTAACTACTACTCTACTCTCTATGCTTTGCTATCAGTTATTTTCGGTTGATTATCGTTTTGTGACTTTCTTTTTGGTTTTGAGTTGCCTTTTGGAGAAAGAAGTAATTTAAAACTGTTAGGCTGTCGATTGAGATGATAAACATTAGTCGGCCAGAAACGCATCAAACGAATACGTGAAACGTAAACAGTTAAAAGAACTAGGTAACAGTACAGTATCGGTAACAGAAACCCCTCCTTCCGAAAACAAAACCCCGTTCAGCACACAGGATGTTAGTCCTTTAATATCCCTAGATGTAAGAGCTTTTCATCCACTTTGCTCTCTGACTTTTCCGCGCGCTTTTTATTAAAGCTTCAGCCAAAGCTCTCTTTCTTCGCAGGCATGACCAACTGTAAATGTAATTTTAACCGTAAATGAGCCACCCGCCTCTCCCTATTAACTTGATTTATTATTTCCCGACCTCCTTGAAAACGCAGGCGCAGCAAACCAAAGCAAACAAACCAAATAAAACCAGAACCAGAACAACCCAACTAAACCAAACCAAAAACCAACAAACAATCCAAAGTCGATACGTATTTTTAGGCTTACAAAGGGAATCCCCCAAAAGCAGGGGGAATCCCCCAAAACGAAGCGAGGCACACCGAAAGCTTTGCCCATTAGGCATTTTCCCCGGAAAATGCCGAACACTGAGCAAAGCTTTTGGCTGTGCAAAACACGCGGCACACGCTTTTCGCACCCACTGTGTGCGGCGGTGTGGGTGCGCCCCATTTGCATTTTACTTTCGTAGCAGCATACTTACTATACTATTACTAACCAACCCGTACCGATTGCTAATGCCATTTTGTATAATCCACACAACATTTATTCCTAGAGTTTCGTTTGATTTGCATGCATTGAGTTAAGCCAACCTATACCTACTTATATACTCTTGTAACCACTCGTACTCGGCATACCAGCTACTACCACTCTATTGCAGCCTCTCTCAATAAGTAATCGCCATAGCTAAAGCTTGTGATTCGGCTTCAGCTACGGCTTTTTGTTTTAAGCGGTAAGAGTCAACCGGCATTGATCCCCCACCACGGAGTTTTTCCACACAACCGGGCAGTCTCCCCAAAGAAAAGAATTAAACACCATACCAAGCCAGATCGGGGATCTGGCAGAGGTCTTCGATCCCCAATCAGCGAACTAATGTTTATCATCTGCCTCCCGCAAGATTCTCCTTCAGTTCGATTATGTTTTGCGTAATTGATTCGGATAACTAAGTATATATACAGGGAGCTCTGTCACAGAAAGTCAGCAGACATCCAACAACAACAGCAACAACAACAATCAACACACAAAAGTCCACAACAAAAACAACATCAACAAAAAGTAGCAACAAAAACAGCAGCATAATAAACAACCAGAATCCTCATCTGAAAAATTGGCCAAACAAACCGCCACAAAATTCGCATTGCACACGATGTAGTGGATAAAAAGTGCAGTATATATCACAACAAAGCTTCAACGTAACACTCTAGAAAAACTAGATCTATAATACACAACCAGACGGGTTGAGTTTTTAGTGATTAAACGCAATAATTGTTTTTATTTACGCCACTAGTTTTGATGATTTTTCGCTGATATATAAATATATATATACATATAATGTGTTCTCTATGATATATGTTCTTATGGCTATTCAGTTATCGTTCTCGCTTGATTTATCCCTCAGTTTGTATTCCGATTTCCGTTTACGACTCTTCTCTGTCTTGTTCTCCTTCGGGGTTCCCCAACTTGGGTTTCGCTGTGGTTTGAGGTTTCCAAGAGCCCAACGTCAAGAATCCTGAGCCCAAAAAAAAGCGTCGCAGTCTCACCTCACCCAGCATCGTCGCTTTTAAGTTTTTGAGAGAAAAAAGGGAAATCTGTAACTCGGAACAAAATTGAATTGTATAAATAATCAGCCCTCCCTTTTGTATATCCACAAAAATAACCAGAAATGTCTAGACATATCAGAACTTCGAAATCGAATGATAGATTGTATATAGGGGCATATATTTTTTTGACAGCCCAACTATTTGACTTTAAGGTCTAGATATTTCTGAGTCCCAACAGATTGTAAATGTTAGGATCACCCAATTGATCATCACCGATAACGATATCACACCCCCCACCCCTACCCTCTGTATATACGCGCACACACATCTGTATAAATATGTATTGTTGTCTTCGGCAGAACAAGAGCAATACCAGGCACAGTTCGTAATACCAGGCGGCTCGACCAGCTCCGCTGGTCACCACCATATCACACTACCACCACCACATCCATACCACCAGCGGCAGTCGCGCGGCTCGGCGGGCAGCATCCAGCGGTCGGTGGAGGTGCCGCCGGTGCCCCCGGTGACCCGTTACAGTGCCGGCAGCATTCACTCGATCACTAGCTCCGAGGGCTCATCGTAAGTCTCCCGATCGCATCCGCATGGCCCCTTGGCCATAGCAAAAGTATACTACCTTTCCGGCTGAAGGACATCTATCTTGCCTGCCTCTGTTTCTGTCTCTGTCTTTGTATCTCTGAATCTCAGACTCTCTCTCTCTCTTCTCTCACTCTCCGACTGTCCAACTCAATGTAAAACTCTACCTCCATTGGCTTTTGTATATGGTAATCTGTGTGGCGATCCCATCTCCAACTCTTCCCCAAAACTCATCCTGCAACTCTATCTCTCTCTCTCTCTTTTTCTACTTAATCGATGTCTGTGTGCGTGTGCCTTAAAAACTGCTAAAAGCGAGCCTGCATTTGCGAACATTTTTTCTCTAAGTGTTTTCCACTTTCTCTTACTTGAGTTCCGTTTGATTCTTCCACTTGTTTGTATATTTTCTGTCATGTAATGTGTATAAATTGTGATTTTGTAACTATGATTTTAACTATGATTTTCAGCAATAGTATATATATATATGTATATAAAAATGATAACCTCACCTTTCGATGTGTGTGTAAATGAAGGGATTAAGTTTAAGACGAACACTAACAGTGCTTGGTAAATAAAAAAGAAATCAGAAAAGACGTAGATTTTGCGAAAGATCGCAAGACTTAGAGAACAAGCTTTCTCTTCCTTCAGATGACTTAGGATTCTGCTAGAAAACTCTTAACCACTCTGATCGTATATAGTCTTACCTTGTCTGCACTTTTGCTCCGCGAAGCGATAGACACTTGCATGCCACCATCGAACTGTGACTCCACTTGCCTCTCTCTCCTCCGCACCACCACCAGTATCACCTTCAGTAACACCACCCCTCACCCAAACTCACACTTATGCATTTCAGACTACTACAGTTGCAGTCGCAACCTCCAAACTGAAACTACAACATTTACTGTCTTTCTACAACTCCCTGTGTATAAAGAGTTCTTTCTTTCTCAAAAAACAAATCCTTTCTTTGTGTAAATTATGTTACCTAATTTTAAAAGATCTTTAGATGAGAGATGATACAAGAAACCACACCAACGATGCTGTACTAAAGTGCTTTCTTTAATGTACCCCCTGTCCAAAACCCAACAAACCCTCGATCCCCACATTTAGATTCTCCCCCTCGTTGCGCAATGATGGAGCCCTCAATGAGTTCGTGGATGGCCTGGGACCAGGTCAGTTGGTGGGCCGCCAGGTGCTGGGAGCTCCCTCGCTGGGCGACATCCAGCTATCGCTGTGCCACCAGAAGGGTTGCCTAGAGGTGGAGGTCATACGGGCTAGGGGCTTACAGGTAAGTCAGGATGGTACTTCGTTATCAGCTGAAGATTTATTACCCATTTCACATTTCATAGCAAAAAGCCCAATCAAAAATGCTGCCCGCTCCTTATGTGAAGGTTTACTTGGTGTCGGGTAAAAGATGTGTGGACAAGATGAAGACCTCGTCGGCCCGACGAACTCTGGATCCACTATACCAGCAGCAGTTGGTGTTCAAGCAGTCATACACCAATTGCATACTACAGGTAGGTCTTGAGAGCTTCTACTTTAATTTCCTCATCCAATGTTTGTAATTTTCCCTTAGATAACCGTGTGGGGCGATTATGGACGCATCGAGAAGAAGGTGTTTATGGGCGTGGCGCAGATAATGCTCGACGATCTGAATCTGTCGAATATCGTGATCGGCTGGTACAAGCTCTTTGGCACCACCTCACTGGTCAGTTGTCCCACTAATATAGGCTTAGGGTCTAGGCGCTCATCCATAGCCTCACTCGACTCACTTAAACTGTAGATCTAAACTAAACTGAACTCGATTAAAATCAAAATCTTTCAAATTCAATTCGTACAAGAAAAAAAAAAACAAACACAAGACAGAAATTTCGCAAATCGCAAATTTGATAAACAAAAACACTTGCATATATTTATATAAACGTACACACAGAACATATATTTATATAGTATTTAGCTCAACGTTTTGTTCATAGCAAGTTACCAAGAACAAAAGTTATTCAACTTTGTAGCGTAATCAGTCGCAAACACCTGTAAAAAGAAATCCCAAAATCAAAAGATTAATTTAAAAAGCCAACAAGAACTATACCGATAAAATAGTCAACATCCAAAGCATTTGTTTTTAGTTAGCAATATACATACGCACTCCTGTAAATGAAAAGCTTATTAAACTCACGGAAACACACACACACACAACACACTTATGAGTCAAAAGTAGAATGAAAATTCGCATTGTGTCCTGAAACGTTGAATGGAAAGTTGATCGAAAGCAAACCAATCAAAACCAAACTGCAAACCAAATTAATACGAAAATAACCTTTCGCAAGTCACCATAAATCACCGTTACCGTTAAAGTTACCGTTACTTCAACGTAGTTTTCACATAGACTCGTATAATACTCATATAGGTATGTTTCTCTATCCCCAACTACCCAATCAAAATCAATTTAATAGAACTGAACCACACACAACCGTTTTGCTTAGCATTTTCCTAGTGCATGCGTAGATAAGTATCTCCAGTTTACATTTTAAATCATTATAATTTACGATCCACACCGACTTAGTTAAGTTAGTTACGTAATCTTTTGCTTTCAATTGATTTCCAACACTACTCTTCAACTAACAATTTTGTAACACACAATTAAACCACAGCATTCTTAAACATAAAATGGCAAATTCTGGCTAGTTAAAGAACATACATATATATTAAATAGCAATTTCCTAGGCCTAGCTCTTTTGTAATTCTTTTAAACGATAAAAACCAGTGCTGTTACCAACCAACTTTGAAACCACACCAGGGTCGTCCGATTGTCTGGGCCGGCGAATCAGTCATAATGGAGGAGCCGGGCGAATAACAGTTTCCAACACTATCGACACCCAAACCAACAACCACCACAACGCTTAATTTTACAGCCACAACAACGAAAACACTTTAAGCACCCAAGCACAATTCAATTCAAGCGAACTCTAAACTGAACTGAATTCAGTAAGTGCACCCAAACAATTTAAATCAATTCAAGCTTAATCTCTAGTGCGCTATTCAAACCAAACATTACGCCACTTTGCCATTTTACACAACCAAAAAAAAAACACCACGAAAAATGTAATCAATTCCAGTGTAAAAAAAAAAAAAACAAAAGTGAAAACCGCTACTAACCCACTTTGCCCGTTTCGAAAACTATTAACAAAACACACCCACAGATAATTCCCAACACCCAAGACTAGCATGCTAATCGATCCCTGTATCCTTGCAGTAACCATTCGCCCGTGCTGTCAGCCCGGCAGCCAAATAGCAAAGGACCAAAGGTTAGCCTGCAGCGGAGGATCCCAGGATGCCGCTCGATCCTCATCCGGCAGGTTGCTGGCCTAAGCTAAGTCCACATCTGTTTTTTTTTCTATTCAACGGCGAAGGAAGACTTTAAAAGAAATTAAACAAACAAGAACAAAAAGAAAACCAGAAAAATATAAAAAAAGAGAAATATCTAATTTTTATAAGTCATGAAAACAAATGCATTTAAATGAACCGAGAACAGAGAACACAAGCAGAGCAGTAAAATGATTAAACGTAACTACGGAATACAGCTAAAAGATAAATGTAAAGGAAGTCTATATATACATATACACATATATAACGGATAACATTTGACAAAGGATACTTGTAAATTATGCATATTTAAAATAATTTTTATTACACACCTAAGATCACTATTATTTTCGTAATACGATTACTACGATTATTATTACTTAAAACTATTATTGATAAAAGGATAAAAATACAAAAAAAAAAAAAAACAAGGGAGAAGGTGGATATAGTTCAAGTGCTAATGTCAGTCATGCCTAAGCCTTAGCCTGAGCAGAGACGCAGAGGGATATAAATTGTTTATTGAATAAATAGCTAAATCTAAATCAGTAATGGGAGTTATAGATTTTCAGAGGTGGGAGTTATTTAAGTATATATACATACATATATAAATCGATATATACATAAATATATTTACTGTTTAAGCAAGCAAAGAACCACTAACACTTAAATAAGCCTAACTTACGATAAAACCGATAAAGTTAAAGCTTAAGATTAGGTTACTAAAAAGGGATATGAGAGATATGTATTAATCGAACAACACAAAGAACAAAAAATATTTACCAAGCGAGAGATGAGCAAGTTTAACTTAATAATGCGAATTCTGAACTTAAGCTGTACATACGATCCACACACGTTACATATACACCACATCCGGATAACCGATTACCAACTACCGCTTCCCCGAGTTTAGGCTTTAAAGCTATTGATTTAACTCTGCGCCATGGTAAAAACTCCGCAGCGACCCCAAAATGCACGAGTTTTTGCCGTCGGCGATGAGGACACTTATATATTTGACTCAGAAAGTATTTGTATAATTTAACTTAGAGCAAAGGAAAACTATCTCACTATATGAATATACTATACCGCGATTTTGTTGTAGCTCCCCTCGCTTCACTTCGTCGCGCTTTTAGAGTCGCTTTAAAATCCATTTGTCACCTTGGTTCCCAATCAACTTGCCTCAAAAACGCATCAAGTACCTTCAAGTTAATAGTGTGAGCTGTAAAAATCGTTACCTGCTTGCCAAAGATTCACGTACACGTACATTAGCATAGATGGAAAACGGAAAAGTGTAACGGAAAACCAAAAATAGTTTGCAATTTACTACATGTTAATTTGAGATATTTTTGGATTTATTTTGGGCAACATTTTGCAATGCATTCCTGGGGAGAAGCAAACATATCACTGGCCTGCAGACAGATGATGGATGGGAGCAGTTAACTTTTATATATACATTAGGGCATAGGTCATGGGGATAACTATGATTATGAGACACCTAGCTATTGTTCCTATCCAGTTGTTTAGTGCTCGTTCTTTTTGCTTTCACTCATGGCTACGGATATTGAGTTGAACCTTTCCGTCCATTCATTCAGATACACACAGCTACACATAAACAGTTGCAGTTACAGCTTACAGATTGAGGTAAAGTTAAATAATATATTGACATGTGCATATCCATCCAAGCAGCAGCTTCCTATATCAGAACTAATCAACTAAGAGATACGTAAAGAAATGCCGAAACACAGGGAAAATGCATTCAAAATGTTGCTGCAAAAAAATCACAAAAAAATCGCGCATCAAACGTTTGAAAAAAAAGAGGAGGGTAAAGTAAAACTACCAGCGAGGTTTCCAGCAACTAATTATACGATATATAAGTCAATGGAACATACATTCAGATACATACATTATAGATAATCAGATTTGTACATTCCGCTTCTCACGAGCCCCATACTAACTTTTCTATGATAAAACTCTCTCTATCTCTACCTTTATATTATTTCCACTGCTCTCCTTCAGCAAACAGTCAAAGATGCTTTGATTACTCAGCAAACCAGCAAGAGGACGAACAAAAATACTAAAAACCTCGGCAAGGTCGACGTTGAAATGTCCTTTTCGAAACTTATTGGCATGTGAATAGAATTTGCAAACAAATAGGGCGCTTTTAGCGATTCCAAACCGAATATTACGTAAAGGGCGTTTCTCCTGTTCAATCATACAAGAAATTCTTATTAGGATTCCTATAGAATTCGTTACATTTAAGTCACACCAAAGACAAAAGCATATAGAAAATGTTAATGAAGCAAATGATATATTACGGCAAGTTATTTCAAGGGCAACCAATACAAGAAACAAAATGCTATTTACTAAGTTCAATTTGAAGGACAGGCGAGGTTAATACACGATACACTACAAGATCAACAACACAAGGATATATCATTTATTGCAAATGTTGAACAAAATTGATTAAAAGGCGAATGGCAGCGCTCTCGCTGGGCGCCCTGAACACCTTATATTGTATTTTAATATCTCGACAACAATCGAAGGTCGAGAAACGACAATAAACTGTGAAATGAATATGTAAAAACAAAATAAAAACACAAAAACTAAAATTATATTAAAAATTGCAGAGAAGAGCATTATAAATATTGATGAACACAGAAACTTGAATTGTGTAAAACTAAAGAGAAAATTTAATGAAAAGCAACATTTAAAGAACAAAACAAAAGAAAATTCATTAAAAATTGTTTTCTAATAAAACAAAAAGATGTGTTTTATTTATTTAAATCGAAAACTAATTGGGTATCTATTACTATTTAAGGATAAATTTAAAAAAAGAGAATCAAACATTGGCAATTCGAAGTTTATGTACCTTTGCAGCTTTTACAAAAATGAAATATTCTATATGATGCTGAAAAACAATGAAGCTAGTTTCCTTTCCGATAAATTTCGATTTTTCCTATATTGCAGCTATATTATATAATCGTCCGATGACAATCTCCGAAATATATTGCTCTTTTTTTCCCGATTCGGCGATTACATGTCATAAGAGACATACAAAATTCTACCACGAATACGGGTCCAAAACAACGCTAGAACGTAAAATTTAAATGCAGAATCAAATCATAAGTCTTTGGAGGTATGACACTTTGAAATCGGCTTAAATTTGGTAGAGTTATGGACCTCGGAAGTCCAGTTGTGGGTCACTTTTTTACAACACATCGAAAACATAAAAATTAATGACATGAAAATGGGTAAAAAATTGGATCAACGTTAAAACGAAAAATTTGAATGCAGATTTTTTAACGATCAAGCCACAAGTCTTAGGAGGTGTGCCACTTTAAAATCGGATTAAATTTGATAGAGCTATGGACTCCGGAAGTCCAGTTGTGAGTCCCCATTTGACAACACATCGGAAACTTGAAAATAAATGACATGAAAATGGGTAGAAAATTGGATCAACGGTAAAACGAAAAATTTGCATACCTCAAGAGGTATGCCACTTTAAAATCGGATTAAATTTGGTAGAGTTATGGACTCCGGAAGTCCAATTGTGGGTCACCCTTTGACAACACATCGGAAACGCGAAAATAAATGACATGAAAATGGGTTAAAAATTGGGTCAACGTTAAAACGAAAAATTTGAATGCAGATTTTTTAAGAATCAAGCCACAAGTCTTAGGAGGTATGCCACTTTAAAATCGGATTAAATTTGGTAGAGTTATGGACCTCGGAAGTCCAGTTGTGGGTCACTTTTTTACAACACATCGAAAACATAAAAATACATAAAAATGACATGAAAATGGGTCAAAAATTGGCTCAACGTTAAAACGAAAAATTTGAATGCAGATTTTTTAAGAATCAATCATCAAGTCTTAGGAGGTATGTCACTTTAAAATCGGATTAAATTTGGTAGAGTTATGAACTCCGGAAGTCAGGTTGTGGGTCACTTTTTTGCAATACATCGGAAACTTGAAAATAAATGACATGAAAATAGGTCAAAAATTGGATCAACGTAAAAACGAAAAATTTTAATGTAGTTTATTTAAGAATCAAGCCACAAGTCTTAGGAGGTATGCCACTTTAAAATCGGATTAAATTTGGTAGAGTTATGGACTCCGGAAGTCCAGTTGTGAGTCCCCATTTGAAAACACATCGGAAACTTGAAAATAAATGACATGAAAATAAATGACATGAAAATAAATGACATGAAAATAAATGACATAAAATGGATCAAAAACTGGATCAACGTTAAACGAAAAATTTTAATGCAGATTTTTTAAGAATCACGCCACAAGTCTTAGGAGGTATGCCACTTCAACATCGGATTAAATTTGGTAGAGTTATGGACTCCGGAAGTCTAGTTGTGGGTCACCCTTTGACAATACATCGGAAACCCACAAGTCTTTAGAGGTATGTCACTTCAAAATAGTATTAATGATGGTTAAGTTATGGACTCTCGAAGTACAATTTTGGGTCACCAGTGAACAAGACATCGGAAACTTAGAAATAACGAACTTGAAAATGGGTCAAAAAATTGCAAGGGTATAATAACGATCTTTATCTGAAATTCTAATACCCCCTGCAAGGTCATGAAAATGGGTAAAAAATTGGATCAACGTTAAAATGGCAAATTTGCATGCAGATTTTTAAATTGGCATCTATAATAAAATTCAAACGCTCCCATCAGTAAAAATTCAGTTTTTGGGGTTTTACATAAAGCGGTGGTATTTCTTTATTTACCATTGATAAACCATTTAATCCGTATATTGTATATATAAATAATTTAAACATTTATTGATTTATATTATTAAATATAAATGTTTTGGATGCATAAGTCATATCGGAAACTTGATTTAACCTTACATTCATTTACAGGTTTTGCTCGCTAGCGCAAAAAAGATTTGACCCAGGTTAATAAATCATGTTTTTGTAGTTCAGTTTTGGGGCATACTTAGTATTTCTTTTGGATATCTCGTTTGAATAATTTTTTAATTAATTTGAAATTATCTTACAAAAGTTTTCATTCTTAACTGTTGATATCTCGTTTAGTTTAGTGCGTTTCACAAAGGAACCAAGTTAATGACGACATACTAAACTATATTTATGGCCTATCCACTATCGTATCAATGCTATGAATTTCTTAAGCTGACCTCGGATCTTTTGGTAAAGTTCTGTGATGGATGTGCATTTCGAATTGCATTATATTACTAATCAGTCTTTATAACGAAAATAAACACAACCGGTCTATTGAATGCTCTTCGTAGAGGGTCCGTTATATTCACCGATTGTTAATAATTTTTCCTTTTTTTTCTGAGCAAACACTAGTTCCGATTAGAAATAAAAGTACATTTATCTACTTATGCGGAGGCACAAAAAACAGAACTTAATAAGCGGGTTTATTGGTGTAAAGCATTCCAGCGTGCAGTAGGTTAAGGTCGAAAGTCTTGAGCGTGTGAGATATGTATGGGGCCATGGATAGTATTTATTTGTATCGTACATTAGATAGTATTTATATTGTCGCTTTGTTACATTACATTTTACATTCATCTTAAACGGTAAGCGTTGAGAGACCATAGAAAATACATATGCCAAAGCCTTGCAGGGTGTCTATCATCTATGTCGACTAGCTGAAGCATAACGTTTTGGCTAGTTAGTGCCGTAAAATTACGATTTACCACTTTACAGTTTATCCTTACAATAAAAACCATAGAATTGCAGCTTAAATTCGTATGCCTTTTGTTCCTTCTTATTTCTCCTTTCGATAAGTGAAATTGCTTAGGGGAAAATACTTTAAGTGCTTGCACATGATCGAGCTATGATATTTTATTCCTTTCAGATTAATATTTGATAAGGTCTTACAGTTAGCTATAGATATTCATTCATATATGATATGATAAACTTTAGTTTACATTGATTACTTAAACACGATTAGCTTATTATCTTACACATTGTATACGAGCATAGCATGTATAAATATAAATAAATATATTTAGATTTAGCCGTAGATGTAGGTGAAGTTTAGATATAGATTAAAGGTTTCGTTTTTTCTTTTACGTGGGTCGTCTGAGTGGCAGTTTGCGCTAAATACTTGAGTGGATCATCGTCAAGGCAAAGCAAATAAAGAATAATTTAGTCCATGTAGGATTCGGTTACCAGCTGATCCTTTGGAAGATTAGTGGATTTGGTATGGCTTCTCTTAGGGCCCGGAGCTGTACAAAAACCGAGAGGCTAACTTAGAGCGACATAAATAGGGGGTTTCAGACATTGCAAGATAATGCTATGGGTCTATGCTCCGATTGCACTAAAACACGTGTCTTCATCTTTTTCATTAATTCCATATATAAGTTACGTTGGGTACTTTGAATTGTCCATCTACATATGTCATAGTGCAATCAGACTGTAACTTAGAAAAGAACAATTTATGGGGTTTTAAAGGACATGATTTTTCAATGCGTCTAGCAATAAGTCTAGTTCATAGTAGGTGAGCCTGAAGAGGGATTCTTCGCCATCCTAGTGGAGCTGAGCCGTCACATACAATCCGCAGTCCTGGTCGGAGGCCATTGAGTAGTTGGCCGAGTCACGGTCCTCCGGAATGGTGGGATGCGTTTCATGCGGCAGCTTGGCGAAGGCGTGATGGCCGGCTCCGTAGCCTAGATGTCCGTAGGGCGACTCCGCCGCCTTGGTCACATGCGGCAGGCGGCGCAGAAAGTGCGGATTCGAGTAGCGCACTCCATTTGGCAGCGTAGTGTGTGGCTGCTGACCGCTACTATTGCCCAGGGCTATGGCTGCATTGGCGTAGTGCATGCTGTTGGGAGTCATAAAGCTGGACACTTGCGACGGCGGTGGCATTCCTCCGCCGCCCATGGAACTGGTCATCGCCGAGGTGGAGGCGTACCCACCGCTCCCAGCGAGCTGCTGGCTGTGGCAGCCCACCGGCAGCGGCATAGTACTGCAGTGAGCCGTGTAGTCGAACTTCTGCTCCGGCACCGAACGCTGCATGGGCAGGGTGGCACTGTTGATGGCCGACGAAGAGACGGCAGTGGGATCCGCGTTGAAGCTGGACATGCGCATATTGGTGCAGCGGCCGTAGGGCTCCTCCTGGATGGGCGGTTGAGGGGGACGTGGGGGCGGCTTGCTGTTTGCCCGCGGCCGGATGATGACCTCCAGCTCACGCTCCTCGCCCGAATGAACCCCACTGGAGGACTCGGAGGGTGCACGCTCCGGGGGCGAAGTGGTGTTGGTGCTCTCGGTGGTGGAGGTGGTATCGCTGCGGGGCGTCAACGCCTCGTTGGGAACGCCGGAGTCGGCGCGGCGCAGGCAGCGGGGTGTGGAACTGGATGCGATCTGGGAATGGGGCAGAAACAGACAGAGAGAGATAGAGAGACAGAGACAGGGGGATGTAAGTGAAAGTGGTCAAGGAGCAGTTGGAATAATGAGCGACTCTGGGAGGTGATAGTAGGGGCTCTGCTTCAGCGTGGCCCCGTCTGCAAGTGAAAACGAAATCAAATCAAATCGGGGAGACAGTCTCGGGAACCCTTCTTCTTTTTAGGGCCATCCATCAACCAGGGCACTAATTCGGACTGTGTCGCTGCTGTCCCCCAGACCAATCCCATATCCATGTCGCTGTCTGTGGCCCTGGCACTGATTTATGCTGTCTCATAACAGCAAACATAAATCTCATGCTGCTGCCGCTGCTTCAGGGGCGTGGCATACACGCCCCTACATGACGACGCATCGCCTTCTTGCAGCCCCGCCCCACATGCAAATCACAAACAAGAACACAAACCTATTCACTATGCACTATGCTGAAGGGGCAATACTCTAGCTGTGGGTGCACCTAGAAGTCTGGGAATTCCATCTGCTGTGAGGGAGAATTTAGTTGAAACTCTAAGAAGCCAAATTTAAAATATTTCTAGTGAAGTAAAACGAATGGGAAAATTTTTTTAAAAGCGTATATTCCCACAGAAAAAAGCAAGCAAGTTTTGTTATATTAAAAATCTTAGACCAACATCATATTTCATGACAGCGCGCATGTACTAAATTCAATAACAAATTTAAATATACTCTTTAAACTCCTCTTTCAAAATATGTATCCCAACAAAAGTGTTTTAAACTATCTATAAAAAAATAAAATTACTATTCCCCATATACCTCATTAAAATTGCTATTTTAATTCAGTTTAAATACCTTTTGGAATACCTAGATAAAATATTCTTTTTAATGTCACCACCAATAAGAGCCTTTCTAAGTAAGAGTATCTATCTATAAAACAAAGCCACCTATACAACCGCTTCCTCTACTTACATGCGCTTCGTTGGTGTGAACTGCGACCGTGACCGGAGCCAATGGGCTGACTAGATGCTGATGCTGGTGCGGATTGCCCTGTTGCTGGAGAGGATGCTGCGGTGGTGGCGGCTGCTGCTGCTGCTGAAGAGGATGCTGCTGTGGATGCTGAAGTGCACGCTGAAGGGGATTGCGGTGGTGCTCGGGCGACAACTGCATCATCTCGGGCATGGCTTGAGGGGCCCGTCCGTAGATGCCGGGATGTGGCAGTACCGCTGGTGGTTGCGGCACGGGAGCCCCCTTCATGGGTAGTGGTGGAGGGGGTGGTGGTTGAGCCTGAGCCTGTGCCGACGGCTGGGGCGGCTCCAGATCCCTGGTGGAGGCGTATGTAATGCTGTCGTCGCGCACACAGGCCAGCAGTTTGCCCTCCTCGGAGATGTTGTCGTCGCTGATGCCACCCAATCCGCTGAGGTTCGCATAGTCGTGGGGATGTCCATGGGCAAAGGATTGCCGCTGCTGCTGCTGCTGATGATGATGGCTAGCCGGCGGCGGTGGCGGAAGTTCATCATACTCCGAGAGGTGGAGCAGACTGACCCCCACCGAAGTGGTGCTAACTCCGCTCTTCATGCTGCCCATGGTGATGCCCACGACGGCTCCGGCGGTGGCTGCCCTTAGTGTCGCGTACTCGCCGTCGTCAATTTCCCCCGCAGCACTGGCAAAACATATCGAGGCTCCACGGCTCGTATGGCTGAAGAATGATATGGATGTGGTTTTGGTAAGTAAGTATTATATTGTCATATGAAATTGTCGCCTTGTGTTGGTTGCTTTTAGGTCTGTTAGCCACCTCTGGGAATAGAATGAACCCTGGCTAGAAAAAAATACATTTTAAGCATATCTGGCTTCTAACACAATTTTAGGAACTCTAGTTCTTTAGGAATAGCAATGTTTTTGAATCTTAATGAAAGGATGAAATATTAAAGAAGCGTTAAAAAAATTTAAGGTCTGTAGGCCTTTAAATTAGTTTAATCTAATTTAAAAACCATTTTCTTTAACTGGAAAAGCGCAAAGTGTGATCAAATTTGACTTATCTCACAATAAATCTGTGAATTTTGGTTAAATTCTATTAATTAACTTTGAAATATGGCCAAATATACCATTAAAGCACTTTTAAATATTTTCTAGCGTTCATTTTATTCCCTTGAATTCGTTCCAACCTTTACTGCGTTAGTTCAATGGTTTTCCGGTTAGTTAAACAAATTACCAAGGACAACAACAACAACACGGCGACATCGACGACAACAACAACACAAAATCCGAGAACGCTTTGTTTAAGTAGTAATTGTTAATTAAAATTCAATTCGCCCACACTCAATTAGCTAGAGTTAGTAGTAATTAAGTTCTAGTAAATCAAACAATTGAAAAAATAAATGAAAAGAATCGTTTTTAAAAACAGGCGACAAGCGGAACAAAATAGTTTCTCATCATTATCCTGCATCCTCTATACATACATGTCTTTCTATATATATATAAGGATAAATCGTTTTGTTATGTTAAATTGAACAATCGTTTTAGTGGACAAACAAAAGCTTAAACTTAAACGAAAACACAAAATGTGGTTACACAAAATGGCGAATGTCAGAAGCACGCACGTATCGGAACTGAAGAATATAGTGCTGGTAAACGTGGGAGAAATTAGGTGTGGCAAAACACTGCACTAATGATTAGTGTTGGGCAATTAGTTTTCAATAATAGGTCTTCCCCAAAATGGTACGTGCAAGGGAAACACACAGATAAAGTACAAAATGAATGAATTAGTCTAGGAAAACGAAAAAAATAAAATCACATGGAATTCCTGAAAAGTGGTGCTAGGGTGGTTTATGTATTGAGTGATTGCATTTTTTGTTTTTATTATTGTTTGTTGGTGGTGCAGTGTGTGTGAACAAAAACTAAATGAAACTAGTTTCTATGGTTAGAGTTAAGAGAACGGACAAATACGGAGCTTCGAACCCGTAATGCTTTTTGTTTGGTTGTTGGTAGCTAAAAAACGATTTTTTACCGCTTGCCATCAGTTTGTTCTTGGTCACCAATTAGTAGGACATCATCAGACGTACTCGTAACTTCGTTAAAGGTGACCTTCAGCTTGGGCGAGCTGGGTGTCAGCTTGGGCCAGTAGATGTCCTCCTGGGCGGCCAGTCCCATGCCCGTCCCTCCCATGCCCCCATTGATAACCCCACTCATTCCCAGTTCCGTGCTGGTGGCCGTGCTCATCATGTCCGGCTTGGAATCGCCTCCATTGACGGTGGTGCTGGTCGAGTTGCAGCCACTGCTGCTCGAGTTGCTGCCCGTCCGCTGACCGCTGGACATCAAAAGCGGCTGGGCGCTGGACTTGCCCAACAATCCCCCATAAGTGCTGTCCAGCGGCGGCAGCTTAAAGTGCCAACGCCGCTTGATGGTCAGGCACAGCCAGATGACGATCCAGAGCAGCAGGTGTGTCACTCCAACAAGAGCTGCAAAATCCAGAGACAAAATAGGGTAGGGGGGATGGTGAGAAGGCACAGGTGGAAACGTAATACGGTTAAGGCGCAAACCAGCCGTATGACAGCTTAATTGGACCGAGTCTGCAGTTCGATTGTCTCGCTTCGAGTGACACTCAATACGTCGTCTTTGTCTCATCGGGTTATCAATCCGACGATTAACACTCAGACAACCGCACATTCAAAGTCCAAACATTTCCGCTAATTGGCTTAGGCTACAAAACATACCTCAGACCGAGTTCATCGCTGGAGGTTTCTTGAATTGGTGTCTACCGGCTATTCCATTATGCAGATTGAACACACCTAATCAAATGTTCGGTGATTTGCATCACTGCCCTCCTCTAAAATCAAATAACTCAAACATCTCAATCTGAACTAAAAGCATTAAACTAGACATGATTGTTTAAATGCCTTTTCATGTACATATAGTCAAATTTAAATTTAAATGATCATTATACATTTGCTTACAAATATACATTGTTCTTCGAAATAATACTCCTTCAAAAGTTATGTGTCTTAACTATCTGTCTAATTTACAATTCGGCTGCCAAGTAATTAAATCGTTTTAATAATGAAAGTCTTTTCAAGCTGCTCAATCGGCTTAGGTTATTCTTTTTAGACAAAATGATTATTTAACTGAGTTCGGAAATATTTAATATTTGATATTTTGTATGGCCAGGTATTGGCAACCTGAAGGTTATTATGGCGAAGTATTTTTTAGTTTTTCTAAAGGGTAATTCATAACTTGAAAAGTTAATTTTCGAGGTTAGATATAAAATTCTTCTTTTTCTAATCAAATTCTGTCCCAAGCTTACTGCTCTGCATACATTTTCAAATGGACGAAGCCCTTAATAGTTACAAATTGTACTTACCCGCCAGGAATGTGGGGCAATGGAGGTTGTTCTTGTAGGTGGCACTAAGGTCGTTGAGCAGCGGCGCTTTCACCACCGCCAGGGCAAGTACGAAGCACAAGGATGCGCAGTGGGCGAAGTAAATCCAGGTCTGATGGCTCTTTAGCGTGATAATCGAGCGGTCCCGCATCCGCGTGGCCAGACGTCCGTGCCCGTACAAATACATGACCATTGAAGAGGCCACCACCAAAGCGGTGGACAACAGATACAGGGCCAATGTGACCACGGCGTTTAGGATTAGTCCAGGCTGATGAACTGGCATGGCCTCGGCGTAGATCTGCAGCTTGTATAGATTGGAGACGCCCACATAGCCTAGGATAATGTCCAGGGCAGCCACTACCATCTGGAGGCTAAACACGCAGGCAAAGGCCTTGGAGGTATTCCAGAAAACTGCCGGATAACGAACGGACCAGACCAGCAGGGCGCACAGCAAGTTCACAAACTCTGCGCTTGGTGGTTGGGAGAAAATAGCCACATCAATTGGTTTATCAATGCCGAAGAAGAGCTGCAGCATTCCGGCGAAGCCATCTAGACGGACGTAATCCTCTCCAGGCTTCAGGTTGGTTGGCGCCGCCGAAGGGGCTGGGCTTAGGGCGGGCACTGCCTGAAAATCACCATCCTCCAGCTCGAAATCCTCAGCCTCCTCCGGCACCTCCTCATTGGACTTGGCCACAAATTCACTGGAATTTATATTGGCATCGCCAAGCAAATATTCCGGTTCGATTTCCACACCGGCCGCCCGTTTGGCAATCCTTCGCTTTTGATTCTTCGGTTTGATAGCAATGATCTTCGAATTGGAGGCGGAAACGGGCGTTGAGGGTATGGCCACTTCGGGTAGGACCTCGGGCTTCACTCGATGGATGCTGCTGTCGCGAGTGGTGGTCTCCTCCTCCTGGAAGCTCTCGAGGATTGCCTGCTCGTGCGAGGCCACATGATGGCGGCGTGGTTGCTGCTGCTGCTGCTGCTTGTTGTGATGCTTGTGGTGCTTACGAGCTTTTGCATGGTGGTGATGTGGTTGCCTACTGCTGGTTTGTATCTCAACAGGTTTAATGGTCGTGGTGGTGGTGGTGGTGGTGCTACTGCTAGTTGTCGTCGCAGCCGTGGTTGTCGTTGTCGTTGATGTAGTGGTGGTAGATGGTGTTGTACTGGAGCTGGTTGTTGTGGTCTCTTTACCCAGGGTTCCCAGCTTTTGCCAGTTTTCGATATTTAACTTGCCGGCATCAGTGCTGGTTGTGGTTGTCGTGCCAACTGCGGTTCTTGGCGGCAACTCATCGAATTCGGGCATGATGACGGTTCCCTCTTCACCCATGCCCTCCTCATCCTCCTCGTTTTCACCCCGCATCGCCTCCTCGAGTTCCTGGCGCTCCTCTTCGTCGATATCTTGATTAATTAAATCGGGCACTTCAAAGTATTGGTTCTTGCCCGCATCCAGTTTGGTGGTTGTTGTCTTCGTCGTTGCCGTCGCCTTGGCCGCCTTTCTGCCACTTGCCTTATCGGGTCGTAGGTCGAACAAATTGTTATTGCCCCCGGCCGGCACTCCTCGAATGGCCGTGAACATGGTGTCGTTGAAGTAGTCCTCCTCGTCCTGTTCCAAGCTGTTTGCGGTCAGGTTCAGTCTGTGCTGGTGGTGCTGCTGATGCTGCTGCTGGTGGTGCCTGGGGAATGGTGTGGCTCCCACAACCGACAGGGCCATCAAATTGCGTCGATTGATCACAACAAAGTCCAATTCAGTGGCCCAAATTTGCTCTGCAATGGAAAGAGAAAGGGAGAGTGGGGTTGAGATTGATGGCTGCTCAAGTATAGAGAATTAATTGCTTTGAACTCGGAAGCAGCCAAGTTGCTTTCGCATCTAATTGGAATACATCACGCAGGATTACATGGTAAGCACCTGTTAAGAGCATACGCACACCGCTTGCATAAACATGAGCCTTTCCTCTCTTCCACACCATCTCCTTTCATCTGCGAAGCAATCGTTAATTAAATGAGGCATCGATACTCGCAGGACTTCTATAATCCACGCCCTGTTGATTATTAGATGCGAATGTGTCTGCCTATTTTAGGTGGTTACTTTTTTTTGCTTGAATCGCAATGAATACCAATCAAAGACGAGCCCAATCGATGACCAAGCTAACTGGAATGTACAGACAATAGGGAATGTGGTCGAAAGGCAAAAACGGAAAACAAATCCATTTCTCTACACATCCCATTTCCGCTCGATTTTGCTCAAATGGGAGAACAATGTACAAAATTTCACCATTAGGCATCTTCCCCGGTCAGTTTCGAAGGTCTAATTAGGCGCACATTGAAAACATATGTGCTTCTGAAATCCCCTACTTGCTTTTAGCTTACATTATACATGCTGAACTTCGATGCTTATAACTGAGCTGCAGTGGCTTAACTCTTGCTCGGTGGTCGAGCTTAATATCCATGTTTATTACGGTCAAGCCTTGACTCTTGGATTTATTGGAGTGAGCGGAGGATTGGGGATTTTCCGCAAGGGTTGGTATCACACCCTGTCCCTATGCTTTTAACCAAACATTGGATGTCACAGCGAAGTCGGTAAGCGAATCAGTCGAGCAGATAACTACAGTTATCAGTTTTGGGTCTTCTTAATCAAACTTTAAGAAAATTAAAGAACATTTTTTGTAGAACCTTTGAACTCCTTTAAGCTTGCCAATATGCTCTGCTTTTCCTTTATTGCATTTCGATGGAAAAAATACTTTCAATGCGGAGCGCTTTATATGTATTTTAAAGTTTTAGAAACACAATATTCATTTTGAGCGAATCACAAATTTCTCAAAATGTTTTATCAGTCAATGAATAATTGGCAGATTTGTATTGACAACGAAATCCCTTTGGGATCAAGACAAGTAACTTTTCTGCCTCAAGGAATTCTCCACCTGATTGCTCAGCACAACCACAATACTATTCCTACTCACACAGCTCCTAATCCTTATTAACTCCTCCATCGAGTAACAAATTTGTTTGTCTTAGCCCAGTTAAGACAGTGCTGAACTTTGTGAAGATTCCTGAAGGCTTTCTAATTAGTTTACTTTATGATGTCGCTCATGGCATCATACACATAGCACCTACAAAATGCCCTAGTTGATAATGGAGCGGTAAAAAAAATACAAGAGAAAATTTGCAAAGTTAACACTTTCATAAAATAATTTATTAGTCGAGTTGCTTTAAGGACATTTACCCAGCGGGCGGTTGGAAATAAAAGAAAGCCGCCAAAATGAGAATTGCCGAGCAAATATTAAAGACAATGGCCCAAAAACGAAGGGCGAAAACCAAAAGACACGAACCGAGTCGGGATTACAACAATGGCTGCCATAATAATATGTCGTTGCTGCCGTTGTCGTTGTTGTTATGGCTAAAGACGGTGCTGGCGAAGCGGCAAGTGGCTCGTAAAACCGACAACACCGAAAATCTGAAGATTAACCCGAAGGCCTGCCACCACGTGCCATCATCCTGCCACCCATCCTCCCTCTTGATTATGCCAATGACAATAACACCAACGAGAACGAGCGGCCGAAGGAACGATGTACGAAAGACGCTGGAGCTCTGGGGATAAGAGTAATGAAAATGCGCAAATCCAACTCCAACGACCACGCCCACCGGAGGCGGCGACTTCCCGCTGCGGTAATAGTTGCGATAAGACGGACCCACAATCCACCAACCAACCACCTCACCACCCCGCTCCAATCGCCTGCCCCTTCCTGCAGCTCCAAACTCGCGCTCGTTAAGTCTTTAGCATGAATAATGATAAGTTCTTGGCGGGGAGCAAAGCCAATGTACAGTGGCGGTCACAAAAATAGCTCTCTTGCTTTTATAAACCTAGGTTCTTTGCCACATTCGTAGCCAAGGCTACTTCTGCTTGAAATTTTAGTTGTGTTAGCGGAATTTTCTGTTATAAGGCAAATAATGATAATTATTTTTAGACTTGGAAAAAATAAAAAGACATTAAACCAAAGAATATTAAATGAAATAAATTCGGACGTTCCTGATACCCTTATTAGTTTGACCGCCATTGTGCCAGGGGACCACCCCCATCGGACCATCCTGGGCCAATGTCTTGAACCACTTCCGGAGCACCCGTCGAGAAAGCACCCATCCACGAGGCTCGTGGTAATCTGAGCCAGCCTGTTTAGCAGCCTTTTATGCGCTTAATATGGCGCTGGACTGGAGCCTTCTTCTATCCATCCACTTATTGCTGTTTTTCCCGCCCATTCTCATCTGAATTTTCATTTGTTTTTCGCCAGAGATGTCTGCATTAATTATTTATGAGTACAGGATGGCGTATAAGTGATTTCGCCATAAAATTGTCCTTCCAAGTGATTTTTGTGTCATCTATTAATGAAATTAATTAATGAATTGTCGCCACCTCCTCTTTTTGCCCTTAAACACCATATTTTTTTTATTTTTCATAAATTTTTTTTGGCCAACAACAGCTGCAGGCTCTAGGAAAGTTTTTATTATAATATTTTAATAAGTTTTCTTTTACTTTGATATGTAAATGAAGCAGTTTGTTGGGACAGTGGGAAAGTTTAGCAGAGGATGAACAAATCTTAGAGATATCTTTGGCATAGTTAAGGGGGTACAGTTGTATGGAATGGTTTTGCGGAAAAAGTAATGATGAAGTCACTTCTTTGGGATAATCTTCTCAATGTTTTATCTTAGCCACCTTACTTTTATAGGTTTCTCATAAAGCCATAATTTGCTGCTTCCCAAGCAAACTCTGCGTATACGCAATTTCCCCAAAAGCTGTTAAAGTTCTGGCTGAATTTAATGAAACGTAATCATGAAATGCATTTGTGGCCACATTTTCCACTCCTTTAATGGCCTTTCCTTGCAGCTTTTTATGCGAGTTGGGCGAAACTTTTAAAAGCGTTTTTTATGATTTGCTCCGCCTAATTGCTTCATCTTTCTGTGGTCCCGATTTTATGCTAATATAAAAGTTCAGTTCCCTCCCACTTATTAGTTTCCAACCAGCCAATCAGTGGCTGTCAATCAACTAGCAGAAAATTTCTAATTGCCGGCTGAAAATCATAATTCTCAACTTACAGCCATAAGCGCATCATCGACCGGGCCGACAGGCCAATCTTGGCAGGCTTAAGTCTTTAAGGATGTCAGAGGCGTTGACAAATTACGAGGGACAAGCGGGCAAGGAAAAGGGCAAAAAAAGAAGAGAACGGAGAAAATCCAGGCAGCCAGCCAGCTAGCCAGCAAACCGAGCGTGAAAATGGCCAAAAGGGGTCGCGCAACAAGGCATTGCACTTAGCTTGACCAGCTGGCCCCTTGACTCCGAGCATTCCATTCCCGTCACCACCCACACCTCCTCTTTTTGGCCAAGTGCAACTTTAGCTTTGACTGCACATTTTATTTGTGCCAATGATTTTCTAATTTAAGAGGGGGGTGTGGGTGGAAAAACAATTTCCCGCCCAGCATGGATTGCACATCGACCACTGCAGAATGTCTGTCAGCGACAAGAGATCGACTTTGTGGCAGCGAACCAGGAGCAGCAGGAAAAACAGCAGAAACAACAAAAGCGACAACGAAATTAATTGAAAAATCACATAGGGAGGACCCACAGCATACAAGTCAGTCAGTCGGGGAGGATTTAAACTCATCTCGTCATGGTTTTTATGATGCCAATCCAACCCAATGCCCCGCTGTCGATGCCACATTTTTAATTTAGTCCGCGTGGAAACGATGGACCGTCGATGCCATTGTCTTCTCGCCCTGCCCACTGATTCACTTCTGTTCTCCGTTTCCCACTGGTTCAATAAACCGGCGAACAATTCCGGACCAACTGCTGGCCAGGGACTCCAGCTTGCATCCACTTTAAATGTAGTAAATTTTGATTTGCCTGCCAACGCTGCTGCTATAGCTTTCCATCATCGTTTCAGCCATCGCGTTTTTTTCCTTCTACTATTACAGCCGCCAGTCCCATTTGTGGCCATTTAGCGAAAGTTTTTTACAATAAGGGTATGTGTATTTTGTAAAGCAGCTTAGGAAGTTGGAAATGAGTTTAAAGCCTATTTTATATTTAGCAATTTTAATGTAAAATTTTGGTCGAAAGGGTAAATACTCAAATTGGGATCGGGATCTAATCAAAAATGTTACGAAGAAAAACTGTAAAATCATTGCAGTAACATAACTATAATAAATTATAGATTTCATTAAGGTGTAAAATTGAGAATCAAAATAAATTTATATTTTAATATCCACTTGATTTTTTGAAATAATTTCCAGAACATATATTTAAAAAAATATTGTTGTTTTATAGATAGGCTTAGCAAATTACCAATAAGTTGAATAATCAAATGAAATCCACAAAACGTTTTAGGGGACATATCCATTCGCCCTTATCCAACTTATTTAAAGTTCGCCGCCATTACTTTTTCCGCCTGTCATTAACTGTGGAATTAGTTTACTGTGCTGCGACGACGGCATCATGTGAGACTCGCCGATCCGACTGTACACAGAAACAGAAGGGCAAACACACGAGGAGCTCCTGGGATGATATACAAACAGAGGCCTGCCGATGTGGCCCAGGACTCATTCGACTGGTGTCCTGCTCACAGTTGGCCAACATTTGCTCAGTTTTGGGTCGCTTGGCTGGCTTTCGCTGTTGCTGTTGCTGCTGCCTGCCTTGTTATTAACATGGCTTATTGCTGGCCATAATGGGCGCACCTCGTCCCTGTCAACCAGTTTCTCCTTATATAAGTATATGTGTGTGTGGAGTGAGTGGTGTTTGCTCCTGCGGTTGTTAGCCTGTGTGCTCGCTCGTTCGTTTGTATTTTTGTTTGCCGAGCGGTCGTGCAAGTGCACACATATGTATATACCGTAGATGTTTGGCCAGCAGATTTCCCCAGCGATTGCCTTTGAAGCTGCTGCTCCAGCAGCTACTCCTCGGAATTTTTTTGAGCTTCCCCCGGAAATTCCCCCAAGTTCACTTTGTTAAGCGTCCTTCGGAGCATCCTAAACTTCTTGGTTAAACAGTTTGCCATAGCCCTTAACATATGGCAACGATTTTAAATTGGCCTGCTCACTTACCCCACCTCCGTTTTCTCCCAAAGGAGGATGGAAATTGCAGACAATTTCAGTTCGTTTTAAGCACAATAAATTAAATTAAAACACCGAATGGCCAGCGCAATTGTGAATTGATTGCATCGACAATGGAAATTATGATTGATTTAAAGCCCACCCCCACTCTCCCCAGCCGGAAAACTGTCTGCACTCATGTTCGTTTTAATAGTTGTCATCAGCGACAGCGCCAGTGTCATCGCACCATCAATATGACAATGTACGACGTGGCGTATGCTTGACAACAATGAAAGTGGGGATAAATGCATTTCGTGCTCTGCAACATTGTGCACGGGTTATTCTCTTCTTGACTGCCCCCGGCACTTCCCCTTCCGCGGGAAATGAATAATGGAAATGCAATAAAAACAGCGATGAAAATGACTCCAAGGGAATCGAAACTTTCAGTACCCTTTTTGAAAATATTTTTCCTAGTACTAGTTGCATCTGTAACAAATTGTTTTGAGATTAAGCAAAGAATTCTTAAGGCAAGATATGCAGATCAAAATTACTATATCAATTTAATGCAAAGAAATTATTTGTTGCATAACTGAAAGTCAATCACCGAAAGTGCACATCTGGAAATAAAGCAACATGGCGTCAGTTTCCGGCAGTTTCGTATTGCATCGCTTCTGCTGCATACTTATGGGCTGCTTCCGTTTCTGATTTCACAATGTGTATGTGCTCTTGGTTAATTAAGCTCACCTTTTGGCAGCAATCCGTTCTCAATGATTCGAGCCTCGAGCAGCAGGCGCGGCAGGAGCAGGCAAAGGGCAATCAGGATGTGGACGAAGGCCGCCGTAGGTCCGCCGTGGGTCCAAAGGGCTCGAAGGGTGCCACCGCGCGACTCCTCCTCCAGGCCATCGTGCGGAGAAAGCGTGCACCGGCGCTCCCTGGCACCGGTGGCCAATTTGATGCCGTCGTTTGCTAAGTTGCCAACCTGTCGAGTAGTCCACAAAATTCAAGATTATTTAAATGAAATATATATTCGAGTACTTTTGGTCCTCAGCAGATTCAGTGGGCTGTAACAGGGGAAATAGTTCGCATATGCAAATGATCTGCCGAGGGGAGGATTAAATTAGGCAGAGCCAAGGACTTGGCAATGAATGCTTATTGATTCGACCTCGCTTTCGCTTTTGCCTCACGAGCGGAAATTGAAAATTTCCCAAGACTCACTCAACTTCCTGGCAAATGTGCATGCATATGCAATTTAATTTTCTCTAATATACGGTAGAATAACAAATTAAAGCACAACTGCTAGAAAACAGCACATTGTAGCTTTTGAAAACAATAAAACAAATAATAGCAGAACAAAAGTAATAAAAAAATATAAATTGTTGCTTTTCCTAAAAAAAAATGCAACAGTTTTATATCAACAAAAGTTTAAAGTTTTTTTAGGTCCATTACACACAGTTAACTATATTCATGATTTACCGCTTTCAATTTACAAAGTGTACAAAAAATCAAAGATAAATAAATTAAAAAAAAATTAAATTATTTAAAGATAGATGAATTTAACAAAAAGGTGTAAATTAGTAACGAAGTATAAAATGAGTATTTATTAGGCTGAGTCAATAAGTTCACCAATATTTCAATTAGCTTAGGATAAGTATCAATTAGTCTTTAAATATCAATACTGTCGTGAATTATATTTCACTTAGCTTAGGTTAAGCATCAATTATTCTTGGAATATCAATATCGTCGTGACGTTGACTACAATAAATATGTATGTGAGGATTAAATTTATTTTAAAAAATATTAGACAATCTTAGGCTGCAAAGGATTTATTATATTTGATGTTGATTTGCCTTTGCTCGCGTTTCTCACAATCAATGGCATCTACTATTTTCGATGAATAAATTACTCAACTGTGAATATATCAAGCAGGAAAAGCATTCCATAATTGCCTGCGAATGAAAACAAGGACTGTCAAAGTGATGTCCTTGGTTGACCGCACACCAGTCCAACTGCGCGACGGACAATTTAGTGTACTCGTCCCTTGGGCCAGAGGCAATTAACAAAAAAATATTCACACATAAAAACGACTAAAAGAGCGAGAAAACTTCAATTGAACATGTGTAGAGCAGAAACAAAAATCCGCACAAAAAGTGCTTTTGTGTTTTAATGCATTTTTTATGCGCTCAAAATGCGAACACATCGCGATTTGAGCGACAGAGTGAGAGAAACCAAAGCATTGCGCATACGACGCGTTGGCGCATAAACAACAGCAACAAAATAAAGAAAACGTTGCACGTGACAAATGGCGAAATGAAATATTTATATACGCGCACCCATGCAATATACATGCATCTATTATTTCCCATATATATTCTCACGCTCCCTCCACATTTATTTGCGCGAGCTGGAAAAAAAAGAGCATTAAAATCACGTGCACCATACATATATAAATAAATGCGAGCTGTCGGGCTTTTAAATTAAAAACAAGCAGACATCAGCATGATGAAGGAGCTGAATCTGAATCAGGATCTGAAGCAAAAACACCAGGAGCAGAAAATGGAACTCGACTCGTTCACTTTGTTTTGCAGCGCTCCGGTTTCGGTTTTGTTTCGTTTGGTTTGGTTTTGGTTTCGCCTCGTTTCGGGATACAATGATTGCAATTTGCAAAAAGTGAAGTGCATTCAAAGTGCATACGGGGAGCGGGAGATAAGTTGAGTGCCAGACAGATAATACATTTAAATGTGCCAACATTTCGCAGTTCCCCCACCGCCGGCGAATCATCTCTAAATCATGTCACTGCATGCACCTCCTCATTAACGTCTTAGACGATAAAAGCCTCTAGGATGAGATTTCAACTACAAAGGAAAACACATTTTGAAAGTTAAAATAGTTTCAAAAAACATCTTCAAAATAACACAAGTTTTTAATTCTACCAACTTATTATTAAAAAAGAAATGTGGATAAACGTATAATCAGCTTTATACAAGAGTCAGCTTAAATAAAAGAAAGGAAATCATTCTAACAAACATGTTCTCTGCACTTATACACCAACTATACTGGACGAGCTCGCTTCCGGCATTTAAAAGTTATTTGCTTGGAGCACCTCAGCCAATGTTGGTCAACCATTTCGTTAGGGACCCACGCCGCATTGGGTGTGTGGTTTGTCCTGAAACCCCGTCGTTTCATTCGATTAATTTCAAATGCTGTGCAAATATGAAAGTCGCAAAGTTTTCGCATATCGTTGTTATGGTTGTGACAGTTTGCCAACTCCGTGGTGGACATGCTCTTTTGCCCGTTTTACCCAGATTTACCCGGCTTTGATGAGCGCTCTTCCCACTTTTTCCAATTGCCCCAAGCCTTATCGGTCGACACATACTCGTACCCCGAGGAATGAACGTAATTGTGACTGGTCTGGTGGTCTGGTGGTCTGGTGGTCTGTCTGCTGGCAAAAAACTAAGCAAAACTATGAACTTCTGGTGCTGCTCCTGTTGCTCGTCCTGATTTCGGGACTCTGGTTTCTAGTCTCTGCCAGGGTCCTGATAGCCACGCCTCAATGGTCAATGTTGGGATTGTAGTTTGCAACCAATTTCTGTTCGTTGTCGTTGCTGTTGCCTTTTATTAAACGTTCGGTGACGTGTGATGAAGCCCTTTCCCCGGCCTGACTTTGTTTTTTTACCACCCCTTCCCTTTGTCACACTGCTCGTTGGCGGTTTTCGGTTTTCAGTAGTTTTCCCCCGCATTTCCCCACGCTTTCCTCGCTTTTCATCAGCCTCTGTCTGGCCGCTGACTGATAGGCAGCTTTTGCCAGCATTTTTCGACTGCTCTTGATGATGTTGTGTTGTTGATGCCGCTGCCGTTTTTGTGGCTGTCTGGCCGCAGTAAAATAAATATTTGCATACAATTTGTATACTCTTTTGTAGTGTAAAAAAATTCACGCAGAGATTTTTGTGATCGGTCCATGAATATTTATACGGAAATCAATAAAAAGTTGAAAAGCTTCGATTATTTTTCAGTGTAAGGAATCAGCAACAAAAATATAAAAAAACTATGATTTCAAATTGATTTTGCATAGCAACAATTAATAAATCAATAAGCTTTAATAAACTAGGTTTAGACAACCACCATATAATTAATGTTCTTTCGCATTTTAAACCAATGACTTCCATTTGAAAATAGGTATTGACAGCAGAAATAGCCATTCATTTTGCGAAATCCTTAGAAAAGTATCAGAAAGGCCGACAATATTTTCTGATTTGTTATCGACTTGACTAAAATCTAAACATTCTAACAAAACTTATTTAACCGAAGCGCTATACTTATATACCCAAACATGTGGGCTAACAATATCTCCGTTACCAAGCCAATACCCTTTCACCAAGAGGAGTATAATCAACTCTTCCTGGGACATTACGCTACGTAGTTAATGGAATTACGTATTTGAGGACCGAAGGGGATGGTCGTCAAAGGAGGACAAGTGACGCCGCTTGGAGCAGGCCGACTTCCTGTGATAGGAAACATGGTCAGTCTGCTGTCACAGCCAATGGACAGCCTGTGGCGGGCCATTCACTCCACTTCGAATCTCCCACACTAGTTTCCAGCAGCTTCCTTCCATTTCGCTTGTTTTAAAAACAAGCCAATTATTTGTGAAAACTTTCAGATAGAGCGGGTCCTGGGAAAAACAGATATGGGGACGTAGACTTGGAATGACAGTCACAGAGGCAAAAACAGTTAAGAAAATACCATATTTCATTTCTTCTTCCATAAAGCAATAGCTAAATTTGTAATTGCTTAGTTGATAGTACTACAGATTGTAAATTTGTTGAAGTCAAAATGAATTGGTTAAACTATTTATTGCAAAGAAAATAATTAGAAGTCCAAATTTTATGTCTTAATTTCAGGTCAAATGTTGTATGCTTTGTGGGACTGCAATTTTTTCAGTGCAGAGACCCCTAACTCCCGTTTCCGTACCTCTCTTCATATCTGTCTTTCATTTTAAGTGGCTTTTACCAGAAACAAGGAGTGAAAGAGTAAAAGGTGGTAAAGAAAATGCCGTTTGTCGGTGATTGTATTTTTCTATCGAGCTTTTACCATCATCGCTTGCCGTACACTCTATAAATAGATGATAAATAAAATACAAACCAACTATGTACGAGGTATGGGAACCACCAAGAGGGAAATGGACAAGGGAAAACCATAATTGCATTTATTATGCTGATAAAAACAGAGACACTGGGAAAGGGGTGAAAGGAGCACACTCACACACAGGACCCACCAATGTGTGTCCTGGGGAAGGCATAACCACACGACGAGTGTCCATGTGTGCGTCTGTACTGTCAGCCATTTTGCGGATCCTCTGAAAAGGACCCGCAACGTATGCTGCTCCTGGTCCTGCTGATGCTGCTGCTGCTGTTTTTGTTTGCAAATAAATTTAATAACGAGAATAATGCCACTAAAAATAATTCACACAAGCACAAAGAGCAGAATACAGGCGAAATGGAGCCACTGCAGCGGCCGAGACAGCAAAAAAATTTAATTATTGAGTGCAACCGAGTACACTCGCGTAGATAGAGGACACTCCCGTATACAGTTAATTATTGCAGGAGCATGATCCCGGTTAAAAACCCATTGGAACAAAGCGGCCACTACAACAGCCACTCACCTTAAACACGGCCGAAGTGAAAAAGACTGGCAACAGGATAAAGACCACTCCAGAGAGTACAATCTGCAGATTTAGTTCGGCCACGGGCTCGATTTTCCAGGGTATCAGTGAGCAGCCTGCAAAGATAAAAATAAATAAAACAGACAATTTAAAATGACAATTGCTTGAAACTTTCTACCCGCAAAATGTGCAATAAACTGCAATCTCTTAATCTCCAACATGAACATACGTTCATATGAACGTATTTAATTGTTAACACTACTAGCAAATGAATAATAAAATAAATGTCTCGTTTGACAATGTATATTGCATTTCAAAGAAATTTTGATTAAAATATAAAAGTTATTCGAATGGGAGGTAAGCTAAATTTATGCTGTTGAGAATACTAAACAAAATAAAAAGAATTATTTATTTTGCTGTTAAGAATACCACAAAGGAAAAGGATGCATTTTTTTTCATTTGCAGATATTTGACAAAAACAATATGAAAGCTATCTGTAAGGTTTTAAATAAAGCAATAACAAAATTGTTGCGTAAACTCACCCAGGAACCTGTAGGCCCCATGCATGGCCAGGTATCCCTGGAACAGGGTGAGCAGCACCCCGTACCAGATGGACCAGAGCGAGTTGAGGTGCAGATAGCTGCCGGAGTCGTGGCCGGAGTGCTGGAGGCTGGTGTAGCGGCTCTGGTGGCGCTTCGACTTGATGTACTTGGCCTGCAGCTGCTGCTGCTGTTGGGTGAGACTACTGCTGGCTGTGGTGGCAGTCGTCATCACCGAGTTGCACAGACTTGAGTTGTGGCTGCCGCCGCCTCCAGAGGAGACTCCGCCGGCTGCAGATCCTTGGTGCTTGCCTCCCATTCTCGCTGGGGGATTCGACTTTGTTTGCCTTTCAATGCTCCTCCACTAGCTTTTGTTGCCGCTACTCGGGTTTTTATCGCTCAGCGCGACAGCGAATAATGTTGACAATCAATTTCTGTCTATCGCCCCGCACTATTTGTATTGATTTTGTATTGATTCTGAACACTGATTTTCTATTTACTCAAGTGCTGCTGCTGCTGCTGCTGCTGATGATGATGATGTTGCTGCTGCTCATTGTTTTGGGCATTTCCCATTCCAGTGGCTGGCGGCGTGGATAATATTTGTTCGCTGATATGGCTCATTATAGCGTCCAACAATTCTATTTGCTGGCGCATATTTGTGGAAATTCGTGTCGTTTTCCCACACTTTGATTGACACTGATTTGCTGTGTCTGCAATCACAGAGGAAAAATAAATGCGAAAATCAGTTGTGGTGGAAATAAATCACATAAATATTTGGGAAATATAAATAGCTTAGCTTAGAGATTGAAATGATAATTAACCCTTCAGTCACAGATTAAACCAAAATATTTTTAAACATATATTAATTTAATTTGAATATATCCAAAATATATAGTTGTAAAGCATTTCGTCAAATTGTCAAATCATCAAATAAATACTAAACAAGTCGCAGTTTTATTGTTTTTTTTAATTAACCATTCTATTATGTAATTAGGCAGACAATTATAATTCTGCAAATCCCTTAAAAAATACATGACATTTTTAAAGCTCACTTAAACCATAAATAATTAATCGTCGAGCGCAAATCCGAGCCGTGTTTTAATTAGTCACGTACGGGTTTTCAGCTTTTTCTTCTGCTGGCCCATGGCCAAATTGACGCGTTCAAATTGGCAACAATTTAAATAAGATTACAGCTCCCAAAACGAATATCAGAGAGGGGTGAAACTACAAATCAATCCGCTAGGGGAAATGGCGGAGAAATTACTGCCCATTCGGTGTCTATAAACCAATTTGGCACATGAGAGTTGAAGTTCCTGCCGTTTTTGGGCGTTGCGTTATATTGCTGTTGCTGTTGCTGCTGGGTGTCGCATGTTGCTGCTAGGTGTTGCTGGCGCTGTTGGCTGTCGCATAATTAAGGCAACGCTCGTTGCCAGACAGACAAATGCGTCGGGAGAGATGCAGCCGGGGAATGGGCGAGACAGAGGCGGAACCTCCAGGGAGAAGCCTCCTTTGTCTGGGCCCTTGTTTTATGCATCGCGCCTCGTATTCTGCCACATCGAAAGCGGCATAATTATAGGCCAAAAAGACACTTACCAAAAAAAAAAGTTTAAAAGTAGAAAAATCTTTAATACTGGTTGGCATATAAGGCACTCTAAAGAAATAAACATTTTTTTAAGAACGTTTTTTTCTACTTTTTTCTGGTGGCATTGTTCGAATCAAACATAACCTTGTTAATTTTATACTTTTGTCAATATGATTATTAAATAATAAAATATAAGCTAATTACCATAATCAGTAATGGTAATATTTAAAAATTTAAAGTAGCGAGAAAGTGTTTTGACCATGTTCAAAAACTTTAAGCAATATGTTTTTCAAATTTAACAATTTTGCAACTAAGTTTTTTATTCAATTTTGAAGAAGCTATTTTTCGATCAAAATCTTCAAATAGTTTAGTTTTTTTCAGTGTACTTTCTTCTGCTCACCGAGTGTGAGGCAGGTAAACTATTTGCAGCTTTGCGTGTTGCAGTTGAATCTAACATGTGTAGAGCCGTTAACATTTATGCCGCCTTTCAGCAAATGTTGCGTTTTGTTCAACACAACCGCGAGTTGGCCAAAAGGGAAATGGGAAATGGGAAACGCAGTTCCTTGGCCTTCCTTCCATTTTCCGCTGCTCTTTGCCATGCAAAAATAATAAAATGTTTGCAATTTGTTCGCGTCGACGTTGTTTGTAATTAAACGCGTTGCAACAACAAAGTTAACAAACGGGCGGGAATGTGCCCTTATTCCGCGTTCTTCTCGCTGCCCAGTAATTGACCCGATTTAATTGATAATGGCTGTTGTGAACAACGTAATGTCAATGGCCCAAGCGACAGCGAAATGGTAGCCCAATCAGAAAACAGTTAAACATCCGCAGTAAATAATAGTAATGCAAAATCTCAGTATATTTAAAGGAGGGTAAAATGCAGTAGAAAACTGGATTTCATTTTCACACATTAAATTATCTAAAATTGCTAAGGCTTCTGTTGTTTTCATTTTGAAATTTAATTTGCAAATTTAAAAATATCAAAGGAACTTTCTGTTCTTTAATACCTACATCTAATTTAGTAAATTGTAGTTGCCAATTCATCCTTGCAACATTATATACTTGATGTTTACCCACAATCTGCTACCTTATTCATACAAAATCTAGCAAACATTGTCAGCCATGATCCTGTAAGTCCTGTTCCGTTTACCAGAGCCTCATGTTGATATTAATTTTATGTTAATTACAATCTCCACCAGGCTCCGCAGCTAGGAGTTCTGTTTCATGTTGGTTGTCTACAGAACAGTGGAGTTCCGGGGGCCATGTGGCTGCGTCCCAGGGAAATGGGGGGTGGTTAATGTGCACCCAAGGCAACCCATCCAAGCACTCCCTGGAGTTCCTTCCTCCTTCCTGTTTTGACATACCCAACATCAGATTAACCAGCCGCAAAAGTCATAAATGCAGATGTTTACATTTATTTTTCCCGCTCCAGCTCCCTTCTTCAGTGGCTTTCCTTTGGGGTATTTTCTTTGTCTTTTGCCGGTGCAGCTAAATGGGTGGAGTGGGGGGGGGGATTTTGTTGGAGGGTGGATTGGGTGTTTTTGGGACCCTCTCGAGAAGATAGAGCAAGAACTTTGCCCCTGTCCTTGGGGCAATTTGTCGCGTTCGCACGACTTTTACGCAGATGAAACAGCCACTTTATAGGCGTCGAGAGGTGTGTGAGTGCACAGGAACAAAAATTATAATCAAATTTATCTATAAATATTATTTTTATTTCTAATTGTATAAAAAAAAGCCTGTAGATGTGGATTTATAAAGGATTTTTCCTTCATTTAATGTGAATAGAATTCCTTTTAAAAATGTTACATTTTAATATTTTCCAATTGATTGAAATATCCAATTTTTCCCAGTGCATATGTGTTTTTTCCTTGGCATTTCCTTTGTGTGTCCTGGCGTAAAATTAAAATGTTTTGCTCTGAATGCAGAGAGAGATAACGTGGGACCTTCTTCGTTTTTTGCACACCCTCCCTGCTGTTAATGCAAATTAAAAACTTCACTCAACTGCATTTATTTGGTTAGCACAGTTCTCTCTGTCTTTCACACTTTTATTTCCACTTTTTCATACGCCACGTCCCCTTCTCATCCCATTAGTGTGACTCATTTTTTCGGGTTTTCTTATTTACCCCCTCCAAAGACGCAGACTCAGGTTCACTTAAGCATTCCGCCCCCAAGAACAGGGGGAAAAATACAGCAAAATATGCTAAATGGCACTTGGCACCCCACAATCCCCCTCTCGTTCCCCATGAACCCCCCCCTCTCGAGTTCCAGACTCGACTCACACATTGCCAGTGGCATGCTCAAGTGGGCCACTCCGGCTAATTTATATGGCCAAGCAGCTTCTTTCATTCCACTTCTACTTCATTTGTCTCGTTCTGAACAACCCCTTCTTCATTTTCCACTCCTTTCTTATTTTTGATGGCTGAACGGTCACTGCTGAAGAGCTGGACAAAGAAAAACATTCCAAATTTTCATCTTTGTACAATTTCCTTGATGCTTATATATTTATTTAAACTGCCATTGAAATGGCTTTTCTGCTTTTTCACAATTTTGCATAAATGAAAATGTTGCATTTTCCTCGCCGCATCATTTACTCTCGTCCTTTTTTCTTCTTTCAAAATCAAACACAATGGAAACTCTCTTTCTTCTGCTGCATCTCGGCAGTTGGTTTTGTTACTGAAAGCGTGACAAATGTGAGTACACTGAGAATACATAAGATAATCGTTACAAAAAAAATGTAAAAAAAATAAAGAAAACTAAATTTACTTTTTCTGTTTTCCCTTTGAAAAAATATAAGCGAAAAATAAATTTAATTTTCTCAACATTATATTACCGAATTTCAAAATTTAAGCCGAACTTTTTCTGACTGCAACATCTTCCCTCCAGCAGCCAAGTTTCTATTCACCCCTCTGCAACATCGTGACTCACTTGTTAAATGTATTTTCAGCAAGAGTTGCCAACAAACATGGACAAAGGAAAAAGAGAGAAGAATTTATTTTCTGCATTGGCTGGCAAAAGTTTTTGGCTTAGCTTGGTGGTGGGGTACAGGGAGGGTTGCACGTGGCATGTTTTGAATTGGATTTACACATGTGCCGAGTTAATACGTGTTACCCCCCTTTTTCACCATCGAATGACATTTTTTTCAATTTTAACTTTCCAGCTGGCAATACGTGAGTAAGCTGAAAATGTGTTGCCTACTTTCTGGGGCTGCCGAATAATCCCCCAAAACTTTAACACAATATAGGTACAATTAATTTTGATTTATTGCTCAGTGCAGCAGGACCAACACTAAAATTATGTAAAACTTGCCAAAACATAACTGAAATGCTGTTATTAAAATCAAGTTTTTTTTTATTTGTACGGCTAGTGCGCAACTAGGTCATAAATGCCCTGGGTAACCCGAAATTACCAAAATAAACAACAACCGAATAAAAAGAAACCCGCAAGGGAGTGGTAAAATTTATGACTGCAATTAAATCGCTACCAGCGGGAAAATAGAATTAAAATAAAACATAATAAACTCTATAAATTAGAATGCGAATCGCATAAAATGGCACCAAATGAAAGGAGAGAACATTGTCTGCATGTAAATTATCGCATCGCGGGCGCGTTCACCAACACTGTGCTGCACCGCCCATTCAAAACCCCTAAAACCAAACCACCCAAAGCCAGGGCAACAACAAATGAGCCACATGCCACCACTTGCAGACGGGCTAAGCCAAATATCGCGTTGAAATGTTACCAATTTTGAGAGTGCTTAAATTGCGTTACACGGCAAATGGGGGTAAAAGCGAGGGGTTCAAAGTTTGAGGGATGTGGCGGCACCCCTCTACTGGGTCACCAGCTCCCCACGGAGATTCTGTCGCTTGCATTCCCAGAGAGTACTTGCCCCCGGGTTCCGGGTCGTAAAAATGCCGGAGAATTCATGGCAATCGAATGGATTTTTCGAAGGGTAAAACTCTGGAAGGGTGTGGTGGTGCCCTGTTATTGTGCAATCGTCGTAGTCAGCGGTTTGTTGTTGTGCACATTGCATGAGTGAGTTTGGCAGGCTCAAAAAATATTCAAAGCGAAAACTTTTCCCGCTTAAGAAAATCGATGAGTCCCCCGAACAACATCAATGAAACCCCCATC